AGTAATTTAAGGCCTGCTTGGCAAAAGTATTTTAATGCCTACTATCTTCCTATACGGCCAGGGAACAGAATTCCGAGACAGCCCCTGGAAACAAAATTTTGAGACATCCCCTGGAAACAATAAGAGTATAACCATTCTGAGACAGCCCCTGCAAATTTTATTACGCAACAGCCCCTGCATTTTGAGTTTGAGACAGTCCCCGATTGTTTAAATGCTCTGTAGAATCACGGCCATTTTTTAAGTGGTGATAGTATTTTACATTAAATTATGGTAATGCACTATGGAACCTACAATTTTGAAACACAACAAACAATCGATATGGTATTTCTGATTTTTATATAAATCTTTCAGATGTAACAAAAACAAGAAAACTATAAGCTGCCAACCTTTCTGACACAGAGTTTACCCAATTTATAAATGCAAATGTCTTAACCAGTTATCTATGCATTACATCTAGGCATACATGTACAAGTGTAAGTATGTGTTTATCATTTACATCTATACACCAGTGTAAAATAGATACAACTACGCATATGTGTAAATCATTAACATCTATGAACCTGCGTAAACTAAATACATCTAGGCATATGTGTAAACCATTTACATCTAGGCATATATGTAAACCATTTACATCTACGCATATAATACGATGTAAACCGTTCAATACAGGCACATACCAGTATGTGTAAATCTTTTACATCTTAGCATATGTTGACCATTTATGTATAACATATGAGTAAACCATCTACATCAAACCATTTAATCTAGGCATATGTGTAAACCATTTACATTTAGGCATATGTGTAAAACAATGATTAATCCATATACATGCTAACTGCCCATATTGAAGCTAAAAAGTAAACTAAATAAACCTTTTAATCTTGAAATCATCATAAAGTTTCCACTTCTTTTACAAAGCACTTTTAATTGGAAAGAAATACTTAGTACAGTGCCAGTTCATCTTCTTAATGAAAACCTCTTTATATTTGATTTTTAATACTAGAGTTAACAAAGCATAAAAAAAGTTTTCTCTATAAAAAACAAAATAGTTGATATGAGTATGATATGATAAGGTGCCATGGTTTGATTTCATATTTCAGAAGGAAAAGATACATGTAAATAAATGCTACAAAGGGATATTATTTAATTTGCCCGTCAATTTTAACAATTTTTTGTGCCCTTGACATTTGATCACAAAACTATCATTTCATGGAAATCCCAAGTCTTTGATACATAAAAAAAACAAAACAATCATGTCACCTTGACCTTTGACCTAGAAAAAACAAGTTCTGTAAAAATTAAAGAAGTGGTTCCACTTCAAATCAGAGCTCCAGATAGCGTGCGTATCTGCGTAAAATACGCATAGAAAATCTAAAATACGCATCACTTTCAAAATCCATGCGTCAAAGTTACGCATAACAAAATGAAAATACGCTTGTATGTCAAAATTTAAGCGTGAAAGAAAAGAAGTGGAAACATTTGATATTTAGAAAGAGGATAATTTTAGCATAAAAATCAATATATTTCCATTTTATTGCTTTGAAAACTAAAAATTCTGTTGTCAACATCGCATTTTAAAAACGAAAGTAACAGGAAGTACAGAAGGGAGATAAGTCTCGTAGATCAACCTGTGAAATTAGCCAGCTAATCATCTTAGGATTTAACATAGTATTGTTTGTTTAGGCATCTATTGACATGCTTATGCCTCAATATTATAACAAAAATATATTTTAATTTTTTTCACTTTTGTTGTTGGAACAAAAAAAGACATGTTTTTTCACCTGCAGTTTTGTACTCAATATTTTCGTACCCAGTACACAGTTACGAACAATTTTCTCTCAGACCAATGGAAAGATAAAAAAATCTTGTTTATTTTTTTTTAATTCTAATTTCAACTATAATTGTTCAAACTGGAGTACATGATAAGGTACATGCCAGCAGAAATAAAGAAAGAAAATATTGACTCCTAGAATATAAAATAATTTCAGGGCTTCCACTAGTGGAAGTTTGGAGTCATTTACTCTTCATTTTGGCTTGTGACTTCCAAAATCTAATACTTTTCCTTCTTTACCTATAAAATGTGACTTCCAATATCAGAGATTTTGAAGTCTGACTTCCAAATTTTGAAAATGGAAGCCCTGATAATTTTGCTGTGTAATTACACTGGAAGTCTGACTTTACAGAGCATGTTTTGTACTGTTTCACATTAAATCAGTATCTTATAAATATTTGTAAAAGTTTTTCTAAAAAAAAAGAAAACAAACAAACAAAAACAATATTGTAAGATTAATTTGTTTATAAAAAATGCAAAATGCTTTTTTGACAGATTTTACCCCTTAAGTTTTTCAGAATTTGCATTTTACCCCTCACTCTAGATTTTGAGGGGTATTAAACCCCTTGGCCAAAAAAAATATCTGGAGCTCTGTTCAAATTGTTTAATGAGATACTCTCATTACAATAATCAAGAGATTGTTTTTTAAATGTTGAAGAATTACTGTTTTCCTTAATAGAATAGAACAGAAAAAAAACATGGTTTACAGAAAGGCATTAATCAAATAATACAGAAAAACAAAATAACATTGGAAGTAAGAAAAAAATGTTGGACAAATCATTGCTTATTACCTATATGCATATCTGTGTAGACGGACCAGATTATATCAACTGTAGATTGACCGTACACCCTATGCAGACTGACTGGAGTCGACACCAGGTGTCGACTGACAAACAATGGAAATGTCACAAAATTGAAAGCATGTCAAGACCTTTATACAAATTTAGCATGGTAAATATAATTGATGTAACTGCATCAAATCAGAAACAACTGAAAGGACTTCAAAATGGCAGTATAACTGTACTTCTAGGCCAAGAAAAACAAATAAATGCTATACAGTAAAACCTAACAAGCTTAAACATTGTTATCATAAACTTTATCATGGTATACAACCATTTAATCAAAATCCACAACTTACAATCATTTAACAACAAAATAAAGATTTTAATTCTGTAATTTGTAAGCATTAAAGAAGTATGAAATAATTAACAGCTATGTCCAATTAAAACTACTGTAAAGTATATGGAGTATATTTCAGAGAGATTTGAGCCGCGTCACGACAAAACCAACATAGTGGGTTTGCGACCAGCATGGATCCAGACCAGCCTGCGCATCCGCGCAGTCTGATCAGGATCCATGCTGTTCGCTTATAAAACCTATAACAAGTAGAGAAAATGATAGCGAACAGCATGGATTCTGATCAGACTGTGCGGAAGCGCAGGCTGGTCTAGATCCATGCTGGTCGCAAACGCATAACGTTTGTTTTGTCATGACACAGCTCATTTGTGGTCTAGTGGCAGGTATGGTTTATGAGTTGGTGTGGTCTATGAGTGAAAAGTGCCGCAGTCACAGAAATACAGACTTAAATCTTATCTTTAAAGAGCATTAAATATGAAAAGAACCTATATTTTGACAAACTGCGAAATGAAAAATTAATTACACTAAAATTTTCAAAAATTGCAAAATAAAAATTAAATTGACAAAATGCAAAATGAATAATCAATTACAAATTGCAATCACTCAAGTCAAAGAGGAGAAAAATATATTTAATTCTTTTGGTCAATAGATTTTCATTTATTTTCAGATTTGCATATTTAATTATTAAACCTTTTGATTGGATAAGTTTCCAGATAAACTATATGAATTGCCCATTTAACATTAGTAATTATTTCAAAAGAATTATGGCAAAGATATATTAAAAACAAATCCTGAGCAATTGATGAAGAAATTCTAGAAATATTACAGTTAAAGTTTATAGTCTTCAAAAGTAAAATTTACCTTCTGCACAAAAATTGGTTTACTATTAAGGTAGCAGATGTAAATTGGACAAATATGTGAACATGCTACATCTGCAAAGTTAAAATGATTTCTTGTTAAATGAAACATGTCATTTTATTCTAATTAATGTAATACTGCATTTTTTCAATGAAATATATTTCATATCACTTAAAAGGATATCACCCACAGTCACTGTAAATAATGCTTGTTCAATAAATTAGCATTGAATGAATATGATAGTTTGCTTGTACTTTGTAAATGTAAATATGAAGTAAATCTGGTTCCGATATTAATCTTATTATATTTCGCTTGGCTACATACTAGAATATGCAAAATATCTCACTTCTCGGCCAATCGCGATATTCATTCAAAATATTTTTTTTAAAAACAATACCATCTGTAATAATTGAGTTTTTATCAAAATACATACACATCTTTTATGAAGGGTAATAAGCCTAATCATTAATCATTTACAACAATACGCCCACTTTTCATAATAGAGAAATTGTTCTAAAAATAGTTAAGATCACATTAAAATCCTATGGCGTATTATATATTTCAGCCCGGTTTTTTGCTATGGTCTGTGGAGGCGTCATTTTGCACAATTCTGTTCCGTAGGTTCGGCAATTTTTCACGATAATCCATTACTTTGCTGCTCCGTTCATCATTTACTCTGTTAAAGTTGTGTACACCATATCATTACATTAACATTGTACAAGTAGTATACAACAATTAAATTCATTCTAAAATATATATACATGTTCACAAATATACAACATTACATCATTCTAAAATGCATATATACATTATTACATCATTTAGTTGTCAAACATTCATATTTTTTTTTTTCTTTGTTTTGTTTTTTTTGCTTTTTGTATCGTTTTTTAATCACATAAATATTGTTACACAGTCATATGGAGTATTTCAAGAGTTCAGGTTTCCTCTAAATGCATCATGTTGTTACAAGCGGGCACCAAAGTAAAACTACCATCCTCCTATAGGCTAACTGAATAGCCTTCACACATTAAAGAATCCAAAGTCTCTGGTGGTTAAAGTTTCATCATAAGTTAAAAAATAAGCACAATTCCTTTATTTGAGGTAAAAATGCAAATTTCATCACAAATTTACAGCAGTTGTATATATGAATTTTATTATTGTCACAAATATCCATTGAAAAGTGGCATTACAAATGTGCAATATTGTAATTACTTACATCCAGTCTATGTGACTGAAAATCTCTGGAATTCTCATTAAACAGGGACATAGGCATGTGTGGATTGAAAATGGAATTGGAACTGGACGTCGCTGGTCTGGACGGTGTATCGAGAAAACTGGACAATGATAAATCCTGTACCTGTAATACATATAAATACAGTACAATCCTGTACCTGTAATACATATAAATACAGTACTATCCTGCACCTGTAATACATATAAATACAGTACAATCCTGTACCTGTAATACATATAAATACAGTACAATCCTGTACCTGTAATACAAATAAATACAGTACTATCCTGTACCTGTAATACATATAAATACAGTACTATCCTGTACCTGTAATACATATAAATACAGTATAATCCTGTACCTGCAATACATATAAATACAGTACTATCCTGTACCTGTAATACATATAAATACAGTACTATCCTGTACCTGTAATACATATAAATACAGTACTATCCTGTACCTGCAATACATATAAATACAGTACTATCCTGTACCTGTAATACATATAAATACAGTACTATCCTGTACCTGCAATACATATAAATACAGTACAATCCTGTACCTGTAATACATATAAATACAGTACAATCCTGTACCTGTAATACAAATAAATACAGTACTATCCTGTACCTGTAATACATATAAATACAGTACTATCCTGTACCTGTAATACATATAAATACAGTATAATCCTGTACCTGCAATACATATAAAATAACAGTACTATCCTGTACTGCAATACATATAAATACAGTACTATCCTGTACCTGTAATACATATAAATACAGTATAATCCTGTACCTGTTTATACATAAAATACAGTACTATCCTGTACCTGTAATACATATAAATACAGTACAATCCTGTACCTGTAATACATATAAATACAGTACTATCCTGTACCTGTAATACATATAAATAAGTACTATCCTGTACATGTAATACATATAAATACAGTATAATCCTGTACCTGCAATACATATAAATACAGTACTATTCCTGTACCTGTAATACATATAAATACAGTACTATCCTGTACCTGTAATACATAATAAATACAGTATAATCCTGTACCTGTAATACATATAAATACAGTACAGTCCTGTACCTGTAATACATATAAAACAGTACTATCCTGTACCTGTAATACATATAAATACAGTACTATCCTGTACCTGTAATACATATAAATACAGTACTATCCTGTACCTGCAATACATATAAATACAGTATAATCCTGTACCTGCAATACATATAAATACAGTATAATCCTGTACTGCAATACATATAAATACAGTATAATCCTGTACCTGTAATACATATAAATACAGTACTATCCTGTACCTGTAATACATATAAATACAGTACTATCCTGTACCTGTAATACATATAAATACAGTATAATCCTGTACCTGCAATACATATAAATACAGTACTATCCTGTACCTGCAATACATATAAATACAGTACTATCCTGTACCTGTAATACATATAAATACAGTATAATCCTGTACCTGTAATACATATAAATACAGTACAATCCTGTACCTGTAATACATATAAATACAGTACAATCCTGTACCTGTAATACATATAAATACAGTACTATCCTGTACCTGTAATACATATAAATACAGTACTATCCTGTACATGTAATACATATAAATACAGTATAATCCTGTACCTGCAATACATATAAATACAGTACTATCCTGTACCTGTAATACATATAAATACAGTACTATCCTGTACCTGTAATACATATAAATACAGTATAATCCTGTACCTGTAATACATATAAATACAGTACAATCCTGTACCTGTAATACATATAAATACAGTACTATCCTGTACCTGCAATACATATAAATACAGTATAATCCTGTACCTGCAATACATATAAATACAGTATAATCCTGTACTGCAATACATATAAATACAGTATAATCCTGTACCTGTTATACATATAAATACAGTATAATCCTGTACCTGCAATACATATAAATACAGTATAATCCTGTACCTGCAATACATAATAAATACAGTACTATCCTGTACCTGCAATACATATAAATACAGTACTATCCTGTACCTGTTATACATATAAATACAGTATAATCCTGTACCTGCAATACATATAAATACAGTATAATCCTGTACCTGCAATACATATAAATACAGTATAATCCTGTACCTGTAATACATATAAATACAGTACAATCCTGTACCTGCAATACATATAAATACAGTACAATCCTGTACCTGCAATACATATAAATACAGTACAATCCTGTACCTGCAATACATATAAATACAGTATAATCCTGTACCTGTTATACATATAAATACAGTATAATCCTGTACCTGCAATACATATAAATACAGTACTATCCTGTACCTGCAATACATATAAATACAGTACTATCCTGTACCTGTAATACATATAAATACAGTATAATCCTGTACCTGCAATACATATAAATACAGTATAATCCTGTACCTGTTATACATATAAATACAGTATAAACATGTGAAATCATCAATATATAAATACATCTTAAAATTATTTTCAGTGACATTTCAAATATTCTTGTACAGTCAATCCCGAGTTTGCTGTTTCATTCAAATACTATTTAAGTATTTTTTTCTGCGAGAATTTTATTTCTGCTATTCTGCAGTTCATCACGATATCGCAGAAAATTAAGCCTTCCCCTATGTACATGTCTGAATATTTCAACTACCGGTATTGTATAATTACAGTACCATGTATTGTTAAAGGCTGTGAATATAGGCCATTCTTTAAAAAAAATGTCAATGCTTATTGAAGCAAACTAACCAATGATTCAGATTAAATGTCATATTTGTCAGTAAAGGTTTGTGTGATCATATGTTTGACTGTATATAAATTAAAAGCCCACTATTGTGTAAGAGTTGACCAAGATAAGTGACATAGCAGGGTTTTCATTATAAAACGATTTGCGATCCAAACCATCGGTTAGAATGCTGTTAAAATTGGTTGTATTTTCAATCTGTATATAAAAGTATCACCCTTGACCCGTGGCAAAATCGGTTTTTATCTTTGGAGCATCTGTTCGTCTCAGATAAAAATGAAAACCCTGCATAAGTCATATACAGTAAATCCTGAGGACCTAAATCTTTGTTGAAAAGTGGTCTCTCAAGTGGATGAACTTTAATTTACGGTCAAACCAACCTAAGGAAGCAAGCACAAGAGCTGTCTGTAGGACAGTGCACAAAACTGTCTGTTATCAGTGCAGGAGAGTTACAAATATTTTATTCTGGACTTCATATTGCAGGTTTTACTTTAGTTAAATTATGTTTGTTATGAAATATACAGGAACTTACATCCCACTGTTGTTCAGGTGTCGGTGAAGTCTGGAACAGGGATTGAACTGGGGGACTGTGCAGCCTTTTCTGTGACTGGTTGTCTGTGATGGCACGGATGGGTGGTGTCGTCAAACCAGGGTCAAGGGTCAAAGTCTTGTTTTCTTCAAGCAATCCACTAAACGTTGTTTCAGATTCTATCTCACCTAGGTAACAGATAATATAATATTATATTAAATAAAATATTTTTGAAGTTTGTTTAGTTTTAACTAATTAAAACTATTTATGTCATACGAGGTAACAACATTTTAAATCTGAAAGCTCAGAAAGACCTAAAAGTGGACATATGTAAAATCTTTCTCTTTCAGCAAGCTAGATTGATGCCTAAAAATAAACAAATAGGAAAGTTGCTGTTTCTATAATCGATATTAACTGCATCCAATAAAATGTCAATTATATGTCAATTTGTTATGTTTGCAAGTTGATTTGATATCTTTTTATTGAAGCAATGTAGAAACAGATGTTTTTCAAATATGTGTTGAATTACTATGAACTTGTAATCTTGCTTATAATTTTTATATCAAATGTTTATAAGATTATATAATTATTGAACTTCTGTTGTATAGAATCTTTTCCACAAATCTAGACAGTAAAGAATACTAACAATTCCTTCAAAATCTTATATAAAAAAAAATCTATGTTTATCAAACACTTGCCTGAAGTTCATGAAATTTTCAACAAAGTGGACAATAAGCCACCCCATTGCCCTTAGCAACACATTTGATATTGCTAGGGTATTGAACAACCTTGAACTTGTTAAAAGTTGATTTAAACTATCTTTCTTTATGAAGCACTCACCTGTCGGTAAAGAAATATTTAACAAAGCAGAAAAATATTTGGTGGACTGAGTGACCCCTTCCCCGTAGCAACCACAGTTGATGTTGCTAGGGACCTGTATGACCCTGAAATTTTATCAAGCACTCACCTGTAGGTAATGAAATATCTAACAAACTGGAAAGATTTGGTGGACTTAGTGACCCCTTGACATTAGCAACCGGAGTTGATGTTGCTAGGGAACTGTACGAGTCTTCATTAGTTGAGATGGGGGTACCAGGAATAGCTGAAAGACCAGCTGCTTTCAAAGTTTCTTGTGACATAGAGCCCAGCTGAAACAGAACAATTAATAGACACAGGTAATAGTGAGGTACTCTTAATGAAATAGTAAAAAAATACTGATATAAATAAAAGTTGAAAGAAATTCAAAAAAATAGTAACAAAAAATAGTAAGTATTTTTATCCATTTAACCGAGTTATGAATTAAACTTTCTCTAACAGAAAAAATGATGAAATCCTCTTGATACTTTAGCATGACATGACTTTATCAACATTCAATCTTCCATACGAGATGACTCATAAGTGAGATTTCGAAAAGTAGTGAGTTTTTTTGTTGTTTTTTTCATCTAAGTTATCTCTTGGGCCTATTTCAACAAAATAATAGCTTAAATGAAACATTAATTTTAATATTATCAAGAAATGGCTTCAAGATCTTCTAACTGATAGAATTTCTACAAAGTGTGAATCTGTAAGTGTTGATAAAATTGGTAATTAAGAGTTCAAACTTTTGAACAGTTTTAGAATAAAGTATAGCTTACATGTGATGCAGGTATTCTCAGTAATGTTTGGTCGCCCTCTGGTGACAACGACATCTCCATTAGTCCCGACGTATTCGCGGGCGGAGAAGATGTGATTGATGGCGAACCTGTAAATATACATATTTCATAAATAAAATATTTCCGTATATAATGCGAGACTGAAGATTATATCATCAATCCCTCATTAAAAAAATATATTAAATATGAAATCTTACGTTCAGCATAAGCATCTATAGCTCTGACAAAAAAAGCAAAGATTCTAACTTTTCACAAATTATGACAAAAGTTACATGTAGAAAATGTTATTAAAATCAAAGGATATACTATGACAGAGTGGTTAAGGTTACTTTCCTTTTATCACTACAGGTTTGAATTTTACTTAAGACTAGGGACTCTTTCACATTAGGAAGTTATCTAACTAGATAACGAAAGGCTGATTTTTACTCATGTGCATGCACACATGAAGCCCTTCCTTCACCAGTAAAGTTAGAGTTACCATATAAATTTTACAGTGTCCATGTCACTTAATATTAAATAACCCAAATTTACAAAATATCAAAGGAAGGCGATTTCAAATTATAAATATCTGCATCCTTTACCATGCATCGGCGACCGCAGTGATTTTCCTGCTTAAGTAGGTGTTGTCTACATTATTCAGATTATCCTTTGCTATCTGTCTATATAGCTTTATTAAACTAGCTAAGCATGATGGTAGAAATTATATCAGTTTTGTATAAAATGAAATGGAAATGAATAATTTATCTCAGTACAAAACATAAGCAACCTCACCTAAAAGCAATGGATTTCTGACAGTGACGTTCACACCCGGTGACGAGGACATGACAGAGATTGGATGTTTCTGTATACCATTTATGGGATGTCCCACGATGGTTTCCGTAGTTTTCTCTGGGGACGGATTCGGAATCTGAGTTCCAGGCATCATTGGAATGATTGTAATGTATTCAGAATTTTTAGGTAAAATTGTTCTCTGAACCAGACTTCCGGCTGCACCAGGTCGAGGCCGAGATATTGGTTTTAATTTTCTGGGTCGCATCAACTGCTTCTGTGTCTGAAAAGAGTATTAATAGGTTTTTTTTGCTTTTCTTTTCCATATTTATTTGATAGAAAAATATAAAGAATACTGTACGGTAATCTCTGGAGGCTTTAGATAACAAAACATCAAACCCCCACACCCCCCCCCCCCCCCCCCCCGAGTCAAAAAATCTGTATCAAAATACATATTGTAGTCAATCTAGACTCTTTTTTTTTATTTTTCCAAGTCCATAACTTCCCATATCAAAATCCATATTGTACTAGAAGAATCTTTAATACAAAAACACTGCTAATTTAAGTATTTTCTTTAATTAATTGTGTTTTCTCCTTCAGAATTTGTGAAATGAACTGTAGCGCTCATTATACATTTTTGAGTACTATACTAATTTTATTGGACTCTTACACAGCTGCAAACCTATATTGAATTCGGCTAGCGCCTCCTCTATAACAGGTTTCATAGCTGTGTACTCATCAATAGAATTGTTTTCAGCAATGAATAATAACCTCATAATATTATCAGCAAGATATTAAAGTAACTGTATCATGGGTAATATATAAAACTTACTGTATTGTGGGTAGGGTTGTATATTGCCAACTGTTCTATACTGGGCTGAGTCACAATGTTTGTAGTAGCTTTATTGTGAGCGTTGTTTGATGCAGGTAAAACTGGTATCCGAAACAAACCATTCTGACAGGTTGTTGTTATTCCAGGGCCAATTGGGACCTGGTGAAAAATTGGAGATATAGCCATTTTTTCATTTAAAGGCACATAAATGAATATACCTCGAAAATCCATATTTATTAAATTCTTTAGAAATGTCAAACATGTGTTTAATAATGTTTTAATAATGGATTTTCAGTATGTAAGATGTTAAAAAGCAGAGGAAAGTAGTGCTGAATGTGCAGTAATGTGTCATAAAGGTAGCAAAATGTAAACAAAGTAATATTTTGACATCCATACATAATACTTATTTACTATAATTATACCAATTTCCAAAAAGCAAAAGGACCAAAGATAGTTCATCTGTTTTGCATACAAGTATTTTTATAGAAACTTTAACAAGATGCAAAAAATAAACTGTTTTTGAGAAATTAAAGTATTTCAGAGGCAAAATAGGCCTTTAAAATTCATCTGACTAATATATTCAAATGCTATTTTGTTTCAGACTGCATTGAATCATAGGTATTTTTAAATGAATAAACATAAATGTTGGAAATATACAAAGACAGCTACATTGCACTTTATGTGATTAAAATTATGCATGTGTGTTTGGTAATCAAATAATTTCTTATCTTCTTTTTTCTTTCCTTTGATATTAAAGGCACATTATGCCTCAGAAACAAATTGATTTTTACTTATTTAGAAAGGGCAAACTTGTATTCTCAAACTTACTGGATTAATCCGTAAACCTTGAGTCTGAGTGGAGGCATCCCTTCCTGGCTTTGCAGCCTTGGAGGCTGGGGGCCCTGTAGGACTCTTATCCTTCCCACGTCCAGCTGCCTTCTTAGGGACTGGGGACTGTCCGCACAGTTGACAAGTAGTATTGACCCCAGTACTCTTTTGAAAGAGAAAAATATTGTTAAAGATAAACATGTTTGAAAGCTGTAACAGTAAATACAAATGAGCCGCGTCACGACAAAACCAACATAGTGCATTTGCGACCAGCATGGATCCAGACCAGCCTGCGCCTCCGCGCAGTCTGATCAGGATCCATGCTGTTCGCTATCAGTTTCTCTATTTGTAATAGAGTTTGTAAGCGAACAGCATGGATCCTGATCAGACTGCACGGATGCGCAGGCTGGTCTGGATCCATGCTGGTCGCAAACCCATTATGTTGGTTTTGTCATGACACAGCCCATTTAATGTATATATAAAACAGAAAAAAACACTCTTCTATTTCTGTCAGTTGTAGAAATATATGAATTTGTAAGAATTTTACACTGGCTGTCGGTACAAAAACTAAAAAAACGGGCTTTGCCGCATTGGAGCAAAACCCATTTCAATTTTTATCATTAATTTAACGAAATTCAATGAAGGCAATTATCACAATCAAATCAAATTTTCGAAATACAATCATTTTTCAAATTTTAAGGAAATACATTTCGTAGTTAAAACAACAATTCACTTTCACTGATGCGAACACAAAGAAAATTCCGGGCCTATATAATAAAGGGAAAAAAATTTTTAAAAAAAAAAAAAAAAATTTAAAAAACTAAAAAATTTAAAACCTTGGGTTTTAAAATTTTTAAATTAATCAGGGGCAAAAATGAGAAAACCCTTCCTAAAACTTTTATTGTTTAATTTTAGTCAGTAATTTACCCTTTGCAAAATGCTGTTTTTTTTCCCCCAAATTGACCCACTCATACTCGAATTTTCCACTTAAACCCCGTCCCCCCGAAATTAGTTTACGGCTCTGCAATATTTTAAATTTTGATCCCTTTCTTTCCACCCCAAAGCCTTTGTCTAACATACCCAAAAAACATTTTTCTCAAATTCGGGTTTGTGACTAAAATTTTTACATTGCCATTATTTTTTTATCGCAGTTTTTTCTCATTTGGCCATTGGGTAATATTTTTGAAACCCCTTTTAAAATTTTCTTTCCAGTTCCAACACTATTTTCTTGTTAAACTTTAAATTTTAGTGATTTTTCTAATTCATTTTTTTTAAAAAATGATTCACTGAAAATTTTAAAACAAATGGGGGGTCTGGAAAACATTGTTTTTCCCCCAAAATCGACCTTTTTCCACAAAGGGTCGGGAAAACAAAAATTTGCCCTTTTGAACTTTGGGCGAACGAGGCCGGGGACTGCTATCCGATCAAAAATTTTAAAAGTTTCATTTTGTGCGAGTATAAAATTCTTTTATCACTAACATAAACGGGGTTATTTTAAACCCTTTGTTTGTTTATTAAAGGGGCCACAACAAGCTTCAAAGCAGGGGGGCTTTCTGACCTTGAAACTCCCCCCTTTCTGAAACAGGCCAAACTCCCACAACCAGTTTTACCCATAGAATTTTTTTGAAGCCTTCAAAAGCTTTTTGTTTTTATTGCACATACAAGAACACAACTTTGAAGCGTCTTTACATAGACCGGATTTAACGAGATCATTTAAAGGGCCACAACTCTTCAAATTTCTTTTAGAACAATTGTTACACGCATCATCACATGCACAAAAATGTTCTGTTATCACAGCTTTGCTTGAGTCTGGTGAGTTTTCAGTATTTACATAAACACTTGTTGATGATTTTACAGGAACTGTTGATTCCTTATCTTTCTTTTTCTTATTTGTACTTGGGCCTGAAATCAAACGGAAAAGTTTCTTTAAATATGGAAAATGATGCATGTTTTATTACCCTGATAAGATAATGTGGTGTAACTACAACTGTGCAGTTCGATTAAAGCTTTCATTAAATCCCAATACATTTTTCTGGACTAGGCCTCATCACCAATTTGCTTTTCATCTAAAAATTAGTTTGTTGATAAGAAAAACAGACACTTGTGATACACAGAATTAATTAGTATGCATGCCTATTACAATCATTTTTTCCTGCACTGATCCAACAATAGTATATGACACAATTAATTAAGGTAAAACAATTTTGTTCATTCTTTATTGTATTTGAAGTCACTATGACTTTGTCTAGATCATATAGGGACTTAATAACTAGAAATTTGGCAAAATGACATGTGCATGCTCCTGGATTTTCTATAATTACACATTTGTCTTAAACGCACAACAAGGGCAACATTGCCACAACATACGCCTGTCACAGAAGTTTTTGACAGAGTGGGTTTTAACTGACCACCAGTGTCCCTTGATTTTACATAGACCCCCGCTTTATGTGCACGCAGGTTTAAATTTTTTTTGGTGAAATTTTATAAGTTTCATTAAAATTCCTCCATGGGTGTAGGAGATATGCTCCGGACAAAAATCTGACACCGACCGTCCAGCCGCCCGCCAGGGGGGAAACTATAATGCAACCCATTTTTCGAACGGGTGTATAAAACATGGGTCAGTTTGGATATCGGGAATTTCAGTATGATTTGGAATATTTCTAAAGATTGGTAAAAAAAAAGCATATTTGCCTCTGGGGAATGGGTCTTGTAATCTGACCCATAGTGGCATGCTGAGAAAAGGTATGGGCCAACAAAAGAGAGCCTGGTCAAATTAAACACTTCTGGCAAAGATTAGTTATTACTACTTGTATAGTTTAAAACAATACATACATAAGTCAATACAATTTGAATGGGTTGAAACAAGTTACATACTAGATGTGCTGTCTTTACAATGTTTATTTAGACAGAACTGGAGCACTGGTTCATCTATAGCCTCTATACTGATGTTCCTCAAAGTACTGTCACGATGAGGGTAAACTCGGAACTCCTCCTGCCCTCCATCACCCTCCTTCAACTTCTCCCTCTAAGATGAAAGTCAAGGATCATCACATTTATAAAAGATTTCACACTAAAATCTATAACAAATTTTACGAAAAAAGAAACTCAAAAATCTATCCTGCAAATATTTGCGGTGAAAATTAATTTTAATTACTTAATTATCTGACAGGGTCTAATTGGCATAAAATATTTGAGACGCACTAGAGTCATTTTCCTTTTTGTAGCAAATTATTCATGATATGATGCAAGTTACATTTGTGTTTGCAGGTAACATGTATAAATTCAATGAAATCTAAAGGATAATTCAATGAAAATTAATACAGAAACAATCCATGCTAATATTATTGGTCAGAGGCAGTGAACTGTTATCATCACCAAAATAGCAAGCTTCAGTGAATGTGGATAATTAACTTGCAAAAAACTGTTACCAAATGTTACACCAATGCTAAGCTAAGGTGAACAAAGAAAACTATTCGTCAAATCACGCTATTGAAAGCATGGGCACTTCTATATAACATAATGTATAAAGGATACAGTTTTTAATCTTGGTGGTTTCCATTTTTGTTCGAGATATTTCACGAGAGATTGTAAATGTCGGTCTGAACGAACAGTCACTCTCACACGAGGATTATGGGATACATCCTGCACATGCTGCCATGCCGAGTTTGTCTTTGGACGGAACTCCACTCTGATTTTTTCAGGCACCTTTGAACTAGGGTCTCTTTTAGGTTCTGAAAAAAATAATTCACTTTTCATATTCATTTCTAACATATGTATCACTATATGTAAATGTATGAAATTTTTAAATGTTCCACTTATCTAAATTGGTTAAGTAGAACTTGAAAAAAATTGGTTTCATAATTAAATTTAAAATAATATCTATACACCAATAAACCTTCCTATAATAATTAATATACAAGTAACATCTTCCTGTATGACTGTCACAGGTGTATAGCAAATCAAATACAAAAGCAGTATTGATGAGGAAGGTGCTTTACCTCACAACCCAGGCATTGTGGGTACTACTTGATCACAACCATGTTTCCTCATATTTAATCACTACTAATAACTTACATGAAGCAGAATCAATATTGGTACAAATAAGTCTTTTATTGCAATGAATAAGTTTAACCTAAATGTGGCCATCACTGTAGAATATTTAATCTTTCGTTGAAGTTTATAGGGGCATATAAAAAATATTTCATTCACCAAGCGAAATACACTAATGTTTCAAAACAATTCTTTATTCATTCTTTGATGTGGGTACCGTATACTGGCTAATTAATCATGTAACAGGGTGAGGAAAGTGTGCAGGTTTAAGAGCTATTGAATGGTATTTTGAAGGTTTCAGGTTAAAGCCTCGTTCTAGCTGCACATTTTCTCACCCTGTTTCAATTTAGTCTAAAGTCTTACCTTCATAGCTGTTCAATTTCTTCAAGGCATTACACACTGGAGTCTTCACTCTGAAAACAATAAATGATATTGCCAGTAAATATGACTACTAAAAGACGCAATGGCGTTTTAACTGTGAGGAATCAATATGGAAATGTGACATTATAATTATTTATTCAGTACATTGTACAGCAAAAATGCATTATTACATGATGCTTATAGAGCATAAATGTTGATAGATTTATTTCTTTTTTGGTGGGTTTTAACCATGCATCAGTATGGTAACAAGATTTTTCCAGCTTTACTAGAGGAGGACCTCAGGGGTCCCATCTGTATATTATTTCAGGCACAAGCAGGCACCTAAGTAGTACCGTACCACCGACCTTCCGTATGCTAGCTGGATAGCTTCGTCACATGAAAGAATCAAAAGTCCCTGGTGGAAAATTCACAGTTTGTATCCTTCGTAAAAATATTCTCCAACAGCCACATACATGTATTATTCTTGTGATAAATCAGTTTGAAAAACTACTCCCCACTTACCGTATCCTTTTCCCTTTAACTTTGATAGTAGCAACTCTGAAAGACAAAATAGAGAATTTCACATTTTAGCAGTTCAAAAGAAAAAATAACATATTTTATGACACATTCTAAAATCAAAATAATAAATTTTTTCTACTTGAAGTCTTTGTCAGGCAAAACTATTTTAGTAAGTATACTTTACAAACAGATTTAGTTTATACAAATTAATTTTATTTTGTGTTGGAAGGTATAAGCTTATTGAAATACTCTCTAATCCGTTCCTGAAACCAATCATTACTTAACAATGAATTTAAAGGTTCTTGCTCAAGGAAATAACAGCTTCCCGACTGCGTTATTACCCACATGTCCAGCAATTCTGAAATTACTAGTCTGACACATAAACCACTTGGCCACGCTAAACTCTTAAGTTCACTTAAACAAAGATATTTTTGGTCCAAGGATGATTGTATGAATGGGAATCCTTGACAATTTACCTTCCTGGACAATTCTTCACTCAATTATTCTATTTGCCTTTTTGCCCTATATAACTAACTATATACAATATATTTTTCTCGAAATTGTCTATTCAGTTCATCAAATTATTTGGCATTAAATCAATAATTTATAAGTACAAACTGTATCAATAATTAATCATTTTCTGAGTTTGAAAACATTATGTAAACATACCCTTGATGCACCAAGTCATTTAATTTCTGCCAGTTTTTGTCATTTGGATTAACACCTGAAACATATAACAGATGTTTCATTAATTAACATTACAATATGTTTATGGTGATAGATACATTTTTCCACCACTTATAGAGTGTTAATAAACTGATATCACATTACACATAATTCATCTGTAAGATGTTGTCTGTAAGTTTTAATTGCGACATCATGATTCATGAAAGGATTTTAGTCATGACATCACACTGTAAACTCAGAAGTATAAAAAAATGTTGACATTACATTGTTAATCTTAACATAACATTGCAAAACCTTGACATATATTATAGTGAAATATTGGCATAAATTTTTATTACCCTTCCAGATTTTTTCCGCCTTTTTGATTGGATATTGATCACCCGAAAGAAATTGATATAACCGAGCCAGACGGGTAATATACACACTGAATTTCCCCGTTGGGTACCCACGTTGTAAATGACATGCGCTGAGGTGATGCGCGTACAGTTCGATTTTACGAGGTGTAAATTCCGATTTACAATCACTTTTTAACTGTCAAATGATAAATATTTACCAAAGTAGAGTAATGATACAAATTCCCATCAGTATTGAAAACAAATATGACCTTGTGAAAGCTTGATATTAATTACAAAAAAGTGCTTTCAATAGACTACTCCTTTTCTCTTGTTTACATTCTTTAGGTACGGGAAAAATACGTCATGTATTTATGTGACGTCATGTTGTGATGAAGAGGTACCCTAAAGGGAATCTTATTTCGACGTTTCATTTGAAACAGCAATGACTTTAAAAAATCGTCTAAACTCGGCAGGGGAAGGGTAATAAAATTATTATTTTGGTTTTGGAGTGATATATGTGGATATATTACCTGCCAAGATAAAATATCACCCTCGCCTAACGGCTCGGGTGATATAAAATCTTAGCAGGTAATATATCCACATATATCACTCCAAAACCAAAATAACATATACTATAACCTTGACATTTCACTATAAACACGGACTATAACATTACAAAATCTTCCAATTATATTGAATTTTGTAAAATCTTGACATATTATTGTAGAATCAACACGTAACACACACTGTATATTGACACTGCATTTTAAACTCTTGAAATTGCATTATAAAATGTTAAATAAAAAATTTCGAAATTGTGTCATAAAACTTGACATAACTTTAATTTTTTTTATATCTTGACATTATGTTACCTCCTCTTAGCTTCTTTCTGAGAACACTGTAACTAATTAACCCATATAACTCCTGAATGTCTTTCTTCAAATCTAAAAATAGAAACATGAACATTTTTCAGTAAATTTGACATGTTACCCAATCTCACATGATAACTAGTATTGGTTTATCAAATTAAAAGAAACAAAAAAATAAATTCAAAATCAAAGTAATTACCTAACAAATCAATTTATTTGTATATGTCATATGTCAATCATACATTTGTTCATTAATTATAGATACACTGTTAACAAATGATATATAATTATGTTTCTAAGGTGTGTTTTAATACATGTGACATATGACTCCAGATGAATCAAAATATTTCAAGAAAGGATTTCAAGAAAGTAAAAAGATTCAAAAAAATAATTTTGTGTTATGTGTGATTAATGGCTGATTTTACAGTATTTATTACCATATTTCTACTATGTGACTATAGCAGTAAGTGCTTTTTTGCATATTTTTTATCTCTTTTTTGGTAAATCATGTACATGTAGATTGTAAGTGCCATTTGCAATGTGTAAATTATTTTCATTATTCACTTTACAATATTTTGCCTTTAGATACATTTTTAAAATTAACATGAATCATGAGGCATGTTGCTTTAACCCAACTACATAAAATACCAATTTTCAAAATTATGTATCGAAAATGGTTTGTTTAGAAAACTTTAGAAACATCTTTTAACAAAATCTGAGTATCAACCCAGACAAACTAGCTACTTGTTCAGGAAAGCTTCATAATATTTCAAATATCTGACATTTAAAAATCAAAGTTTAATTGATTTAAACATTTAAACACACTTTTTGTCATATCTCGGCCTCCAGTCAACTGCACAAATACCACATGGAATTGGTGGTTAAACACAAATGAACATCAGAGTCCATGTCCAAGATAAATTCTTACGAAGAAATTACATTTTGCCCAAGGATCAAACAACTTTCAGTTTACACTAATAAGCTATACCTTCAACAGGTTGTATAAGTTTGGAAATCTTATGCCATGTCCTGTAGTAGAAATGTCGCACTTGTTCCTTGTTCTTCACAGTGATAGGCAACACTCCTCCCTTCTTTTTACATTTGTTTACAATCAAATTGTGTATACTCTCAAAGTCCTTTCCAAACTGAAATTGAAATAACATAAAAAAATATGAACAGATATCCCATATGAAAAACAAAAGTTTCTCCCACTTGAAACTAAGGTTATATACCAGTTCTTATTCTAACTTATAAAACAAAAGGACACATATTGTCACCTTGGTGCATTAACAGGTTAACTCCTATTGAATAACATAAGGAGTTACCCCGTTATTGCACTAAGGTGACAATATGTTTCTATAGTATTGAGTAATGTATTGTTTGGAATATACAATAAATGAACACCAAAAATTGATTTTTCATGCTCCAACCTCCACAAGATGGCATAACAGGCTCCTCATGTGCAAGAATAGAGTCACAATTTACTCATAAAGGGGATTCTGACCCACATGCCACAAAGAGAAAGACATTTGAGCTTAGCTATGCATGCCAAATAAAATAGCAATGTTTCATAACTAAACTGTTTTTATTAAAAAAATATTAAAAAATTCTGCAGCATTTCTCAATTAAACCTTTAGCATCTGAAGAAACAATGTTTTACAGCTTCTCAAATTTATTTTTAAATAGGATTAAATCATTTTTAAAATTACATTCATCTATAGCCTTTATTTAGAGAAACTTAGTCATCTTAAAATTTCATGTTTTCTGATCAATTGTTAATGAGAGAATATCAATAAATGAACACCAAAAATTGATTTTTCATGCTCCAATTAACAACAACATATTAAATAATAAGATAACTTCAGAAGCTGATCATTTGTAAAAACAGACACAGATTGTTGATAACTTAATTTAAAGGTTAAAGCAGCATGCCTCCAGATTTATGCTAATTTACATGAAAATTTTGAAAATGTATTTAAAAGTAAAATACAGTAAAGTGAACAAAGAAAGTAATTTAACCATTGCAAAAGGCACTTATATTCCACATAAATTACCAAAAAGAGGTCAAAATATACATAAATACATCTTACTGCATTAGTAAAGCAGTAGAATTACAGTGATAGATACTGCAAAATCAGACATTAATCGCACATAACATGTAAATAATTTATTAAATATTGAATCTTTTTACTTTTCTCAAGATCTTAATACATTTTTTTAAAGACTGATTTTCTTGAAATATTTTGGCTCATCTGGAGGCGTGCAGCTTTAATAAATCAATAACATTCCTACTGTAAAACAGGTTAATACTTTCATTTTACTTGTACTGATACACTATATTGTATTGTTTAAGTTTTCTTAAAGTCGCTTTAATACCTCACAAAGGCCCTCAAAAAAGCTATCTTTGTCCTCCACACTCCATAGCTCCCACTGTCTCTTGCCTTTAGTTTCTGGGGTAGTTGTTACAGGGGGCGTCGCCGCAACCTTCTTTCCTACAACAAATATTGAAAGTACAGACAGTTCCGTTACTGTTAATGACATGTTAATATACTTTTTTAAGGTATAGATTTTCTATTAATGCCAATGGTACTGGTCTCCTTTTCAGAATAACATAATTATTACAAGACCCTATAAAAGACAACAATTTGTCATTCAATGGAAATACAAAAAAGCGGCAATCAATTAATTATAATTCAGGTAATGTATAATTAATTAAATTTGAATATTTTAATTAACCTTACTTAACTTAAATGAAGTTTTAATTGTGTATCCTGTCAAATTAAGTAACATTGTTATAGTACAAGTTGAATCAATTAGTTCATGATTAACTAACTGACTTTTCATTAAAAATATTGTAAATTTTAAGATTTATTTTTAAAAAAAATCTATTTTTTTTTTTTTTTTTAAATACATTTTTGCTTAAAATGACAATTTACCATACAACCTCTTTATCTAAATAACTTAACAACATTTTTCAAAAGCTGAACTAATCCATGAGTTTAAAATGTTTATAATATTATCTATCATAAGAATCGCTCCTTGCTGGGACATACGATAAGTATATCCCAGCTCCTTGTCATCAAATTTCCGAACCTTTCTTAACTGGAGATTCTGGAGGACTTAAATCCCTTCTTGGCCTTTTCACTATACGTGTACTAAATCTGGTGGGCTGTTTTGCTGTTGTCTCGACTGCAGATGTCGATGGTGTGGGCAAATCCTTGGATTTTCCTGCAATCTGACTTTCTTGCAAAGCATCTTGTTTAGACTGTTGCCTCGCAGTCAGTCGTCTCTCTGGTGGATTGTTTGTATCTGATGTTTTTTGCAAGTTCTTTGCTTGCTTTCCACTTTCTGGTGCAACCCCGACTGGTGACACAGCCCTAGATGTCATATTAAATAAATAAGATCAATGATTAATTGTTATCAAAATAAAAGCATATTTATTGGCAGCCATTTTTATTTTCTGATGCTAGTAACAAAACAAACATGCGTGCACTTTACGTCAAAAATTTGATGCTTACAGCATGAATTGCTCTGTAACATTGTGATATGTAATAAAAGCAAATAATTGATATTGTTTATTAATCTAGAAAAGGCAAACTGTGTGCACGATTGCAGTTAAAACACTTCATTTATCGCACAAAATATTTCCAAAATGGCGGTTATAGAAATTGATCATTTGATGTTTATTTTCTTACCCTTCGACGTTTTCTTTCAAGATTTCCTCGCCTTGAGCGCTCTGTCTTCTTTTTCTAGGAGGCATTTAGAAGTGTATGCTGGAATGGTTCGTCATATGAAAGTCGTTTCCTTCCATTTTCCTTGAAATAAAATATCCTTGTAGCGCCGTCAGTTACAAAAAGAGAGCAACAGAACGTGAAAATTAGTTTGCGTTCTTTCACATATCATTTCGCAAAATAATTCATAACATTGAACAAACAAGTGTAAATTATTCGTTCACAATGTAAACTATAAAGAAAATATCTAAACAGATAATAAACTTTATGATAAAGTAGAATAACAACTGTTCCACCCTGAATTCATCTCTTTCCAACTGCCTAACCAAAAATCTAGGTCATGTGATCAGAGCTGTCCAGTAGCGTTGCACAATTTTCAGTCATCAAAGTAAATTGTTTATTTATCTAATTAGTCCTAATTTATGCATGAGTTGTTCATAAAAGATGTCGATCTACCATTTAAAACAGTTTTCCAATTGCTATTTTTCGACAGAACGTGACTTATGGGATCATATACCGGCTTCAATTATCAGTTACTATCTCTACTATGGAGTATAAGGCTGTCAACATTAATATTTAAATGCTTTTATTTATAAATTCCATATAAGACAACAACTTTTCCCGAAAAATAACTATATTTTAGACATTTTGTTAAAGAAAGGAATTCACAATTATCAATTTCAATGACTAAAATAAAAAAAAAGGTTGGAATCTATTTCAAATATATGGAAAGGATATTATTCCCTCTAACTTTATCGATATTATATTCTTATTCATTCTAAATCTATTGTAAATTACCAAAAGAAAATATATTTAAAATCAAGTATGTTCATTACTTTAAAGTTCTGCCCAAAGAAATGTTTAAGGGTGGCATATTTAGTCTGCAAACTAAGCTTCAAAGATGCGCCTGTTTGCAGCTGTCAAAACCATTGTGTACATGTATGTTGTGTGTACAACCTGGCGGGAACCAAACATGGAATCTCTCGTTTTTCATTGGTCTATTCCTGCACATGTGTGGAAATCACACTAAGTTTAAAATAGCAACCTATGAAAACAGATTTAAGTGGATATGAATGAAAATAATCTCTAAAGCTAAAACCAATATTAAAAAATAAATATAGCACTATTTTCGCAGTAATGTTATCAAATTTAATATCTTATCAATTTTAAATAAACTAAAATATGATCGAAAAACATAAAATTGTGACTAAGTCATCGTGGAAGTTCATTGGCTTACTTTTGAGGCAACTTATGGGAATACATAAAAAGTAAATTTGTTAAACATATTTATAGAAGAAATGATTCACTTTTCATCAGGGATGCACTCTGAAATTTTTTAACAAAATGTATCATAAATAAAACAAACTTTTATAGTTTATCTCAAATTAGTCATTTAATCTCTTTCATAGCAGGTGCTTTCACGCGCTATGCCCCATAGCGACCTTAAACGTGACGTCACCAGGTGAGCGAGTATTCCGAATCACTAGCCGGTGTGGGAACGAGAAAGCATTCCTTAATATTTTGAGAACTTTCCTTGTAACCTTAAAAAATGACGACCACAGACTTGTATTCTGGCTATACTGCTGATGGAAAGCCATCGTCAAGGTTTGTTTGTTCAATTTATTTCATATGAAAATACAGAAATATTCGCATAATTTATTTGCTGAAGCGGAAAAGAATGTCATTTATTTTCTCGTCTTGGCTCGTTTCATTTGCATTCCACACCATTATCAATATGGCATGTTAGATATTTTTGAGGCATTTATATCTTATAGATTGATTTGTTTGAAACAAATTTTAATTAATCTTTGTAAATAGTTTCTGAATAATAGTTCTACGATGTAAAAAAAATGAGGCACTGCAAGGATTTCACAAATTTATGATTTCGTACTCAAAAATAATCGAACTTTTTTAACTTTCTAAAATTCTAGTAAGATTGTTCCATATACTAGAAAGAATCTATATCAGTTGTTGGAACAATCTCACTAGAAAGTAAAAACCTCATTTTTTTAAATCTTGCTTTAAAGTCGATTCATGATCAGCATTTTTAGTTGGCTCTTTTTCAGCAGACTTATTTTTTGCATCGGAAATTTAGTCATGCAGCTAAATTTAGGACTGAAGCTGCAGATATAAGGCTATAGCAAACGATTGGTCAATGGTGCGAGGATGAATATTTACTGCAAATGAAATAAGGGTACATTCTACGTGAGTGCACCTGTCAGCCCACAGTTGAAGTTGTTTAGCGCAAACAGTCTATTTAGGGGGTCAATGGCACTAAAAGTCTATCTAGGTTGTACACTGCTTGTGCCTTGCAAGTAGATTTCACAAGCATTCGCATCATTTATATACTACATATAAACTTTCCATATCCTTTTTTTCCGGTAAAGTCGACATTTTGCACAATTATTTAACATAGGACATATTTTCATATCTTCACAGGCTAACACAGAACAATATAGACTGTATAGGTCCTCTTGTTGACAGGGGTTTGACAGAAAATAATGGCTTACAATGATCTTCCATTAGGGAAAGCTTTCCATTTTAAAAGGAAGAGTTGAGTAATGATATCCAGATACTTGCTTACTTCAGCTTGACTATTCAAACTGTAGGGACAGCTATTGTACACTACCAGAGTCGGCATCACATTTTGGTTAAGTTTTTTGTGCAAATTGGTATCTCCTAAAGTGCCAAAGGGAATGGTTTGAAACTTCACACACTAATTTGAGAGCATAACAGGCTTCGCGAAACTGCTGAAAAATTTGCCTGACAATCGGTCAAGTTTTTTCAAATTTTTTTAAGTCTTGTCTGACCGAAAGAATATTTTTCTGACCGAATTTTTTTCCAAATATATGTATATGGTAATACCTTTGTGTTTTTTTTAAAGACATAGCAACTTTTAAAGATTTGCAACTCAATTTTATTCTCTTAAATAAAACATCAGTTTAATCCAGATTGATGGACTCTGTCAAATTTTCTCTGCGGGCGCCTGGACTCGTATTCCTTTTCTTTTGCTTTTTTTCTTCGTTAGATAATTTACGTTTTTTGCCTGGCGTAGCGCCATATCGTGTAATAATACAGTAACCAACATTTTGCTTCAGAGTACAAGGTCATTGAAAGTCGTATGTATCTAGAATTTGATTGGACACTTATAATGAAACGGCGAATCAAATGAACTCGTTTTACATTTTTTATTCAAGGGAGAAAACTCGGTCTTGATCGGTCTTGGATTATATTCCGGTATTCGTACCGAACATAAGGTCCGGAACTCGGAAAAACAATATCGGACCGGCCTGATTTTTGCCGGACATGTCTGACGGTCCGGCAACTTTCGCGAAGCCTGGCATAATATAAGATCATTGTCCAGCGCCTATGACTTACATGGTTTTGACAGAATTTTGGCCCATTTTGAACTTGGAAAATTCTACATTATTCTGGCTCTTGTTTTGCTATCAAGCACTAAAAAAAAGCCAAGAACGATGTCCTACCAACAGCTCTTGTTAAAAATAATACCTACATATGTATTTTGTCTTAACTCCAATAAATTGAAAAAGTGACTTTAGGTCAAGTTTAAGAGGAACAGACTCCGAACAATTTACAGGTTAAAACACATGCTTCTAATCCTGGAGTCCAATCTCTATCTGCTTTCTCAATCCATTCTCGTACCATTACTGGTTTAGACACACAGAAAGCAGATATTCAGCTGCGTGCATCATCCCACAACTAACAATATTGCTTTGATCCGGTTATACATTATTGGGAATACAAGAATTTTTACTTTTAAAGTTAAAACGCAACAAAGGGTTTTATTGGATTAAAATTGTTTTTTTTAGAGTATTGAGACCACCTGGTGGTGGGTCAAGTAACATTTTTGGTGGTGCAGAGCCAGAGGCACCCAGAGAACAAGTCCGACGAGAAATGGCACAGCAGTCACCTGCAACACAAACCCAGTCACCTTCAAACCCAACTACTGATGCTAATAATGAGTACCAGAAAAATAAGCCTAAAGGCAAAGGTATGTCTTTTAAAGTTTTACTGAAATTACCAGAGGAAAAAAGTCATGAAAAGTGCATGAATGCACTTGAAATTGATGAGCTTTAGAATAATGAGTCATATACAGTCAGAATAGATGCATGTAGTCGATATATTTGATTGATCCATTTAAATGCATTGTTCCTGGAGATTTAAGAATGGGGGTATACTGTGAGTTTGTAAATTGCTTCATTAACTTTGTTTAAATGTTGTGTTTTTTATGCCCCAAGGCATTTAATTTTTTAACAGTCTGTTCGTATAACGTTAACATAAAAAGGCAAGTTCAATTAAGTTCTATCTGTACTAATGGCTTCATTTTCACACTCTTGCCTATCAATACAAAGCATATATTTAGCAATTTTCCTGTCAATATTAAATGAGTGGATGGATAAACTGTTTTGTGTTTACCATTTTATTTTGATATACAAGTATGTTAATGTTTTATGAAAATCAACATATGTAAACAGTGATTAGAACATACTATGTTAAAAAATATACATACTTAACAGTGGACATAAAAGTGACCTATGACCATAACAAAAATTATCAGACATCCATTTAATTTTTTTTCCATTTCATTGGAGTAAGTTATGTTTGTGTATTAATTTTATAGATTTTATCGAGTAAGAAGGGGGTTCACATGTATGTGTAGGAAATTGATGGTTATGTGAATATTAACATATGTGAGATATTTATCTGTAAGACAGAATTTAGTTTTCTGACAAGGTGCTTGTCTGAGATAATTGAAGTAACAGATTCTTAACCCTTTATTTCTGAAGGCATTCTTGTCAGGCCTGTGCCTGTAGTAAAAGGGCCTGGTAGGCAAGTCAACCAAAGTGTATTGAATATGAAATTTTCCATTACATACCTGGTACATTTTTGAATAGTAGACGGTAAAAGGGTTTACGTTAATGTTTGGTTGTTTGTTGTTGAAGATTAAAATTTTGTTTTCTCAAAACATTGGTATCATTTGCGATATTTCTGTAAAATTAAAAAGTCATAAATTTGTACTTTTTGGTGATCTTGGAGTGAATAAAGCTGTAAAACAATAATTATATTCATGAATTTATATCACATCAAAACTAGTATTATCCCATGTTATAATAGAGTTATTGATCTATTAAATTGAAATAAGAAAGTTATTACATTTATTATTGATTTATGATTAGATTAAGTTGTTTATATCACCAGTAATGACCTTATTTTGTACATTTAATGAAAAGCATGCAGGGATATATAGTTGCAAATGCGTTATAATTTTATTACATAACACCATGTAATTTAAGTTTTATTGCCATATGAAGGTGTGGTATACATGTTGCTTGTACATAACATTATGTTAACAAACTGTCGTACATTTATTTCAGGCTGAGAAACGGAAATATTCGGTTAAGTTTATGTTGCGACAGTATTCTGTTTTTCATTATGCAAAATATTTATACCGATACATTATTTCTGTAAGTTTCTCTATTATTGTTGTATATATATATTTGAAAATACTGTGCAAATACTGGCAGGGTACATTTATTTGAATGTTTCAGGGGAAAATCTATTTTATATATAGATAAGATAAATATATGTTTATTTGATAATATTTATGATTATTACAGTTGTCTAAATTATAATGGTCTGTTGAAAAAAAATAATCTAAATATAGTATGATAGTGGCGTATAAAGAAGCATTTATCGATTACATGAGCCAATATTCATTATTGTGTTTTCACTGTTTTGAGTCAGAAGTTACTCATTGATTTTTCTCTGAATCATTTTCTAACTGTACTTGTTGGTATACACTTCTAGACAAATATTTTTGCTTGAATTATGTAGCTTGTACATCACTGCCACCTTTACCAGCCTTGACTTTTTGGGGCTTATTTTTTTTCTCATTTTCTCCCTGTGTCTTATTTGTACTTCAGGGGGATGGAAGTTATAATAAATAAACAGATAATATTATTATAATTTCATATCTGAATTTGTTTTTTTAATTTATGGACGTATGCAGTCTATGAAGTTTTGACGATTCAAAATGTTAGTTATCTGATTATTAATTAAATTATTTAATAATAAAAAATATTATGGAGAAGCATGGGGTTTTGACCAATTTAGTTGTGGCTAGGTATGATGTGGAGCCAGGGGGTCATACTGCAGTTGATAAGCAATTTTAGCAATAACTTTTTCTCAAAAATCAAGATTGAGGCTACGGTCACTTCCCAATTAAGTGAGAAAAACCATTGTACTGACTGAAATTTCTATCAGTCTGTTAAGAAAGCTTAAGTACAAAAACTCAAACTCAGGGTTGTTTTTTAACAGAAAAAAAAAATAAGAGGCTTTTAAATTTCAAGTGACAGATGTGACCCCCTGGGTAGATGATGTAACTAGCACCTAGTAGTCTAGTTAGTTCACCCTGTTACAAACAGTATATACATGTATGCAGCTAGTTTTTTCTCTCATATTGAATGCATTGTTTACCATTTATGACACATTTTCATATACATATTGTTTATATATTTTAGCTGAAGCACCATTTGCAATGTTCCAAGAAAGTGGAAGTTAGTATAAATATACATGTACATGTTCATTCTTTAAAATACAAATAATGATGGGGAAAAAAAACCAAGCACATAATGACCCATAATTCAAACAAGTTAAAGAAGGGATAAAACTAAAAAATATGTTGTAATTGGCTGTCAATTCACATCTATAGAAGATTTAATTATTGATTACGTCCAATGCACAGCTATCAAGGAGCTAATGTCTCATACAGTGGATTTTACTGTTTTAAACTTCTGTTGTGCACATTATAAAAGCATGTGTGCAGAACTTTGAGACAAATAAAGTACACCATTGATGACTCACAATTTCAGTGAATTGATACGTTTTTACTTTAGCTAAAATGTTTTGTTCCTGTCCCTTTAATTTACTTGAACAGTTTCATGTAATAAATGATCGAAACACAGTATATTCTTTGTTAAATTTAGACATTTAACCAAAGTTTAAAATACAAAAATGAAAGGATATATAGCCATTATTGACACCAGCATGAACAGTAGAGTCTGTTTTTCTAAATGAATTGACACAACAATTAAAAGTTTACTATTTCTTAATGAGATATCAGATTTTTTTGCCCATATTTGTTACAAGTTTGATTTGAACGTTACATTTAAGCTTTATGATTTCATTTTAATGAGGTAAGAGCATATTTTCATTTTTTTTTTAGGTTAATTAAATTGAAATTTTAGATTTTCCAGCATACTTTGTTTTGTAACACGGTTACACCTTTTGAAATGGAAGTTTTTTGAAAAGCTTAAACGAAAGATGTTAATTTCAATTCAAGATCAGTTAATTAATGTAGCCAAAAATTCATAAACATTCTAATGATAATTATAATAACCTAAACTACAAATGTAATTTGTTTATTCCCAAAGTACCATTAGCCAGTGATGACAAATCAAGTTTTACAACCATACATACTTTATCAATCAAACTGGGTACATGTGTTATACAGTAACCACACATAAAATGCAGTGATATTCCCAGTTTATAATACAAAGTTATCAATTTATATAATATCAAAATATTGATAAAAACATATACATTATAAATGATAAAGCATATATTTAGATAAAGAAAATCAAATATAATATGATAAATGATAAAAATAACTCAAGTCACCATTAAAATGCATGAATTAACTTGATAGTTTTATTTGTTTGAATCTATATTATTTGCATGTTACTTTCATATGAATGTGAATGCATGTTTTGTTAAAAAAAATTTACAATGTATGTACATGTATATTACTATTTACAGAACATTCCGCCCCATCTCAGTTTGACAAATGTGATACAGAATCTCAAAGTAGGAATATCTCATATTTTATCTTTATATTATGTTCTTTTTACTTGAAATATTACATTATTTGGACCGATTTTTCACAGACTGAAAGTTTAAGGATTCTTGAATAAAAGTCGAATGATAAGCTAGGCAATTGTCTGGAAGTTAATTTTTTCAAACCAACTTCAACATATAGTGATGTTTATTATATTGTTTTACTATTCTTTGAAGAAATACTTTTGTAAAGTAAAACTTCACATATATTTGAAATTAAAGTCATCATTTCCTTGTAACTACTTAGTCATGTGACATTGGTAGTGATGTACTGTATTGGTTCTGTAAACAAGGAAGAATTACAAACAATTTTCAATAATGTTTAAAATAAAAGTATCATTAAGATATCCTTACAAAGCTGAATTATATAAATTGGTAATAATGATTGGTTTTACTTAGTCTGTGTTTCGCAAATGACTGCATTATGCTTATAGATGATGCAGATTTTCGTTGTTACTCTGTAACGGAATATCGTAATGCTGTGGCCACTAATGCAGCAATCAGACAAAAGGCGCATGGAGCAGGTATCAGTTGTGCTAGAGTTGTTCCCCTTGTTATCTTTGTTGTTGTTTTAGTTGCTTCACATATTTGGTAAATTATCTCGCACTGACTCTTTTTGGTCACAGTTGGTCTGGGTTAAAAGGAAGGAGGGATGTAGGAATTTAAAGGTTCAATCAAACAAATTGATATCCTTTAAACCAATTACATTTGTGTAATTAGGAATGTGTATTTTTGAGCATATTTGTTAAAATGGAAACAAAGCGATGGATTGTCATCTAAATACTATTCTTACATGTGATTAATTCTTACATATACATAAACAGATCTCATGGTAATTTCATTTTCTCATTGGTGTTTAAGACTGAATCTGTATTAATTTACATATATACACTAATAATGTCTCCTAAAATTTTGTCTTCGTCCGACTTCACCTTGTCTGGCTTCCACAGGTCAAACTGTTAGTGGGGTTTTGACGAAAGTTCACAGGAGTGATCAGTACCAACCCTAGTTGAGCATATTGTTGGTATCTTCTGCTTCGCTGCACAAAATTGTCACCAGAGAGCCAGAGATAGAAAATTCTTGCCAGTTTTCACAGGTCAAACTGCTGGGGGATTTTAATGAAACTTTACAGGAGTGATCAGTGCCAAACAAGGTTGTGCATATCCATGCACATTCTGCTTCACTGCACAAAATGGCCACCATAGCTAAAAATAGAAATAATCTTGTCTGGCTTTCACAGGTCAAACCGCTGGTGGGATTTACATGCTACTGTTACATCCTTAGAGTTCATACATGGGAGACATGTTTTTGTGACAAAAACCCCTTCTAGTTAGTTTTAATTGGGTTAATGGGGTAGGATAAAGTTAGTATTATTAAATTTCTGAGAAGGATCACTTTCTAACTAGAAATAGTTTATTAATTTTATCATATTTAACCATAATATATTTAGAAACTTTAATAATAGTATTGTTTATCAACTCTTAATCCCACATTTAGAAATTGTCCATTTATCTACACATGTTAAAGATCATTTAAAGAGCTGATAACTGATTTCAAATTTTATATCATCTCTTGTGTCATTTCATGTTGCAAAACTTTTGAAGTGCTTAAAGTTTTCAAAAATTAGCAGTCAATGTTTTGTTCTTGGTTTAACATAGTATGTGTGATCCATTTTAAAATATACATGTTGTTATGCAGTGGCAGTGAGAACAAGTTTTTAAAAAAAAATAGAAATAAAATTTAGGGCACACTTTGTTCAAGCTTCAAATAAAGTAAGATTTGTCAAGGGAGTTAATAGACAAAAGGTTTAGTTTTATTGTTCCTAAATTCATACATGTGCCGGGACTGTCTTATACAATCAGATTCAATACATTAGAATAAAGTAGAGTTAAACATCTTTAGACACTCACTGAGTCACTGACTGGAAATCAAACCCCAGAATTCGACCGGAAATGGCCTACACCTATGATATCTGTAAAAAAAATATAAAAAAAAATAAAGCCTTCTCTCAAAAACTTCTATTAAATTAACAATTAATTAATTATTAATAAGAGAAAAATAAAATTCTGTTATCAGTTACACAAACTAATGTATGTTTCTAAATTATTATTACCAAATTAACAACAGTTGAAAGTAGAATGTTAGTTATTGTGCTAGCTTGTTAGTTTTGTTTTGTATTCTTTTTTCTGGTTGCAGTGTGCACATCTTTTGCATGACTTGTTACAGTGATTTCTGCTGTGTAATCTTAATTCCCTTGTACTGAATAATTCTTTTTTCCTTTTCAAAATTCTTGAATTCAAATATTAAAGCAAAACATTTGGCAAGATCTGCTTTCCTCTTTTTCTTGGCTTATAATAAGCAGAAATGTTAAATTTGGTGAAATACATATTCCAATTATAAATTAAAAACAAAAAAATTGTTGTTTTAAGTATAGCAATTTCATGCTCATTCTAGAATTATAAAGAAAATTGAAGAATTCTTTTTTTATATTCAATGGAAAATACATTTATAATTAAGTCTTTTGAGAAAAGTCAATTTTTAATTCAAATGTTTAAGGAGAAAAATTTCCACAAATACATTGAAACTGTTTTAAGAATTTTTTTAACAATTTTAAGAAATTACAATACAGTGAAAATAGAATGAAATTTAGAAATTAAACAATTGAGGTTTTATATATAGCTACTGGTGCCTTTAACCCTATAACCCATGAAGAGAACCAGGGGTCCTCTGGGTGCAAGGAATATGATCAAAGAAAAATTCATCCCCAGCAAGTTATACGTAATCAACAGAATCAAGAACAACCTGTTCGTATGGTTAGGGGACAGGGAAACAACAATACTGGAAAAGGTACATTCCCATCTTTTAATTACCAGAAACTAGAAGTGTGATCCTTTCTTTATTAACAGTTCTTTAATCTTTAACCGTTAGCCTATTGACGGCAACTGAATCTACCCATGTGACCGGTGCAGACCAAGTTCAGCCAGCACATCCGTGTCATCTGATCATAATCTGTACCCTTCAATACTTAGTTACATTCATATTTTTAATATTTCCCTAAAAATGATGTAATGTTTTGTATAGGATAAAAGATAGATACGTCCATTTAAAATATTTAGCATGGTTTATATAGAGTATGATCGGCATGCACAGTCATGACTGCTGGCTGTCGAGATATTACTTTTGGCTGCTCATATACTTTATTCTATGAAATCCTTGTCATTAATAATGGACTTTCCAAGACAGGAATAAATCAATTGCACAAATTTGGTTTAATAAATGCTGATACATATATTGAATGTAGGTAATATTTAAGACATGATATTTAATGTAGACTCTTTTTTTGAAATAAAAATATTTTTTAACAAAAGTGGTATGAAAATTATATTAATTACATGAAAACCAACCCCATAACAAACTTGTTGTAACAAAGTTTTTAACTCATTCTTACAATCGTATCACTAAGATATTACACGAAGCCAATAAAAAACTGAATGTTAATGGGATGAAAACATTGTCAATGAAACAAAAGCATGGTTTGTTGTGTTTTTGTGAGAAGATCAACATTTACATTCTTCAGCAATTTTTGAACTGCAAAGATTTTCCTCGTCTCATAAGTTGAAAAAAGATTTTGATCTTTCACCACAACAAACTTTATGTGTTTATCATTTTATGCCAATTTTGTTACTTTCAAGTAAACAATATGGTTAACTATTGAAAAAATAATTTTGTAAACAAAGTGTGTATACAACCAATCTGCAATTAAATAAGAAATTTAAATCAGTACCTGGTACTTCTTTGGAAAACCTGTGAATTATTGCATAAAGTTCAATATACATTCAGAATAACCATACCAAATAACTAAACTTGTAAATAAAGAAATTTATTTAACATGTGGAAATATTGATTTCTATGTATACAGATGAAGGACCACTTAATGGTATTTGTAATGCTTTTTGAGAGATGTTTGTAATGTTATGTATTTTGTAACATGGATATTTGCATGATGGTATTAATGAGGTTATATTTCTTGCATGCAGGGAATGGTACGCTTGTAACATTAATATGACTATTGCATTATTGCATCATGTTATTTCTAGTTATTGCAATGTTATTTCTATAATTTGCATGTATTTAATACTAAAATGTTAAAACATATTCTTAAATCTGATACTGGTACATTGGACCCAATGAAAATTTTGTCCCCCCTCTGACGGCTTTAAAATAATGAATATTAATTTACTTACCATGGTAATATTGTGACTGGGTAACAACACGGTGTACATTTTGACCATGCCATGGTCATTGCTAAATTGTCTTGCAATCATAATTTCATATTGACAAAAAACTATTGTTAAACTTTTTTGGGGGGTACTCATTGTCCTTTTCATTGTCTGCTTTGGTTTGGATATTGTGCACAGCTTGTTATTACAAAAATAAGACTATCCATTAATCCCAAGCCTGTCTGGAAGTTGTCCAGCTAGCTTATAAAAGGTCACTTTGTTCTCCTCTTGTGCTTAAAATGATATATATAGGGGAACCAGTCTTATGGTCTGTTTCACACAAGAAAAAGTTGAAAAGTTGCCATTTGACTTCACAGTATAGGTGTTAGTAAAAATCTAAATGATACACATTTTAAATTGAAAATATAAATTTCCATTATATAAACATGTACTATTGCATCTTAAGTTTAAGATAAAATACTGGTCAAAAGAATGTTTAAGGAATGTTGTAATTTACCATCTTACGCATTTTTGACAAAATGGAGGACTGTGCTTGTGTAACATTATTGTAAGAATAATTATCATTTATTATGTTTGCTTCAATGATATGTTGAAATGTTTGACTAACATGCATGATTGTGAACCATAAAACTTGAAGGAATCAGTGTTAATTGAGCTTCTTTTATACAAGACGGAAACATGATCAAATGCTTATACGATTAAATACAAAACATAGCAATCTAGAGTTACATGTTGTTCAGAGATGAATGGCTGTGCATTGTGACTTGTAACAAAGCTAAAAGAAGCTTTGAAACTTGATGAGAACATTAAAGTTTTAATAAATTGGTCTTTGTGTAGAAAATGGTTTAAAATGAAAGAATAAATATATATAATGTATGTAAAAAATTATGTTAGAGTTAATTCATATATTTGAGGGGAAAAATAGATTTTAAAAATGATGAAGAAAATGTTGTGTTTTCTAAAATCCACTTTCTATGAACAAGTAAAAATATATATATTGATATATAAACAAAAAAAAAGCAATTATATTTGTGATAAAATTTTACAAAAGGTAATTTTGATAAGTTTTATTTCATTTTCAGATAATCAGCCATTTGGAAGGAGATTAACGAAAGTCTATAGTTTATATTATAACACTAAAGATTTTCATTTGTATTGCAGATTTAACTGGAATGAACAGTAGTCTTTCATTGATTGTTTTTTCTCTCTATATGTAAGAATATTACACGATAATTTTATTATGATAATTATATGAATATTTTATATATTTTACAGTTCAATACAACCCTATAACTGGTGAAGAATATCCTGCTGACTATGGACAACAGGTAAATTTTGTCTACATTATATACACCCCCACAAAGTTTTCATATTCAAGAATCTGTTTTATGTGGTATAAGGTATATAACAAAGGGAGATTACTATGACAGTATTAATCAGGCATGTGAGGTGGAGTATTTAGCGAAAGAAAATAACTGCTTCAATATCTTGTTATATCTGGGGATGATATTGGTCAGTCACCAATTGGTGACTTAAAGTGTAAATTTCTTTATGATGTAAATTGGGTCCTAACAGCAAAACTTAATAATTAATGCTTATGAAGAGTTCATTATAATGCTTGATAAAAGCTGATTTATTCAGAAATGTAAAAATACTTGTTTAAATTAACCATTCATATGCTAATCATAAATTAAAATTTACTACCATCTTAAAAATCTTTAATACAATTATCTACAGTAATGTTCTGTACATAATTTTGCAATTCTTACATAGTTACTTCATAGTTGTTTAGTATTGGTCATACTTGATAAAGATCATTGGATCATTGTTTTTCCCCCAAAATGAAATTAACCAGTCTGATAACAAGAAACTATTTACTTGCCCTTAGGATATGGACCATTTTGATTTTATTTGTTAATACATGATGTTTAGATGACGAAATGGAATGGCTTGAATGTTTTAGATGTAAAAGTTAGGTTACCTCTGATTATTTTAGCATTATGATATATGTAAGGCATGATGCCCCTGTATCAAACATATGCTGGTGTTAATAGATATTACTATCACATAATTATGACATGTTGAAATTGACATGTGCTCTCTTTTGCCTAATCTGGGGCTTATATTTTTAAGAATCATGAATTACTTAAAATGAATTATAAAAAGTTTTTTGTTTTGTTTCAATCAATTTATTACTATAATATTGTTTTTTGATACCAAACTTTTTAAGATATTTTTGGGGTTCAAAGAAAACTATGCTAAATATTTGTACAATTACTAGGTCACATTTTTCTCTGTCCAATCCCATTGATGTATAGATGGGTTGGGAAATATTTGTATGTTTATCTTGCATTACATAAACATTTATGGTTGAGTAGATAATGATATGAAATAACAAATGATGCAAATAGTGATATATTTATTTCTCCTCTAGGCTGTTATGATATGACAAATATACTTAAAAACTGTTATTATTTTGTGACATAAACTTAGTGTAAATGTTGCATGGGAGAACAATCTTATATATGAAAAGAATTATTGAATTGCTAAATGTGTCCCCTACATGATACTGTACCATTACGTAGCTTTGTTTTTCTTTACATCTATTTTGAATATAGCTTTAGTATAATATCCCTTTAAAAGAAGAACTGGTTTGGTGTCAACATATGTTATTATTTAAGCCATTCTGTGATGAAAGTCAATGGCTTATTTGAACTTCTCAAGCTATGCTTCTTGGTTTAATGTGAGGAAATGGTTGTGAACCCAATATAGCTTGAACTTATGGACTTTTTGTTGCAAGACAGGTCTACACCTCTAGGCTATTCATCCTCATTGGAGACTATAATTAACAATCATTCATGAATTAAAAGCATATAGATAAAAATATACTTACAACATTAATCTATAATATAATGTTATAAAGAAGTGTTGATATATGCAGATTTTAACAATGTGCAATATCTTTCAACTTCAACATGTTAATATTTCTTTTTGTGCCCCCACGTTAGTGGCGGGCATTTAGATTTACCCCCGTCCGTCCGTCCGTCCATCTGTTCACTTTTGTGTCGCACGTAACTCAAAAAGTATTTGACCTAGAGTCATGAAACTTTATAGGAATGTTGATCAGCATGTGCAGTTGTGCACCTGGGTATTTTCGTCTGGATATTTTTAGTATTTTCAGAGTTAGTGCCCTTGACTTAGTTAAATTTTGCAATTTTCAACTTGTGTCGCATGTAACTCAAAAAGTATTTGACCTAGAGTCATGAAACGTTACACAAATGTTGATCAGCATGTGTAGTTGTGCACCTGGGTATTTTCGTCTGGATATTTTTAGTATTTTTAGAGTTTTGCCCTTGAGTTATTAAAATTTTGCAATTTTCAACTTGTGTCGCATGTAACTCAAAAAGTATTTGACCTAGAGTCATGAAACTTTACAGGAATGTTGATCAGCATGTGTAGTTGTGCACCTGGGTATTTTCGTCTGGATATTTTTAGTATTTTCAGAGTTATTGCCCTTGACTTAGTAAAATTTTGCAATTTTCAACTTGTGTCGCACGTAACTCAAAAAGTATTTCACCTAGAGTCATGAAACTTTACAGGAATGTTGATCAGCATTTGTAGTTGTGCACCTGGGTATTTCCTTCTGGATATTTTTAGTATTTTCAGAGTTATTGCCCTTGAGTTAGTAAAATTTGGCAATTTTCAACATGTGTCGCACGTAACTCAAAAGTATTTGACCTACAGTCATGTAACTTTACAGGAATATTGATCAGCATGTGCAGTTGTGCACCAGGTATTTTCGTCTGGATTTATTTAGTATTTTTAGAGTTATTGCCCTTCACTTTTAAAAATTTTTGCAATTTTCAACTTGTGTCGCAAGTTTCTCAAAAAGGATTTGACATAGTCATTAAACCTTATGGGCAGGTTGCTCAGCATATTTTAGATTTGCACCTGGGGTTTTGCTTGTGGATTTATCCAGTATTTGTAGAGTTATTTCCCTTGAATTAGTAAAAAGATTGACAGAACAGTGGCGCGGTGGGGGCACCCGTGTCCTATGGACACATTTCTAGTTATCTTTGCAAGTAATAATTGTCTATAATGTATGCTTGGCTTATAATTATGTTATGTTGCTGGTGTTTTATTGACAAATACACAAGAGATTTTAGCCTTTGACTTGGAAGAATTTGTCCGGTCTGTATGTAAACTGTAAGAATCAGCATGCATTAATATTTAATTCAGCAGGGTAGGGGTGTAACTGATTAAGTTGCTTACTGCTGAATATTATGATCCTGAAATCCCTGGATTTATCAATGGATAATTCTAAATTCAAAGTAAGGCCATTCTATCACAGGAAATCAGAATAGAATAAAGGGATGGTTATAGAAATTCAGATTTGGTTAATGTACTCAAGAATGGCTTATAGAGAATTGCATGTTAATGTAAAAACTGCTTTAATTGGTGTCATAAAACATTTGTCATTAATCATTTATTTTGCTATTTTATATGATATTGCTGTCTTGGCTTATCAGTTGCTTAAAGCACATGACAAATATTGAGATGTTTTATAAACTATGTATGAAAATTACAAGATGATAAAATTAATGATTTTATTAGACTTTAGTTGAATGGGAAAAAAAGAATTGTCTACATTTAAGCAACTGTTAAATAAAGAAAAAGATGTGTTTGGCAGGTTCATCATTTCAGGTTGACAGTCCAGCAACACTTCATGTATAATTCTGCACATTTTAATTCCCATAACATTACTCCGGGGATAATTAATATCTACATGAAGATAATTTCTAATGATATTCATGTTGAAAAAAATGGGATGTTTATCACTATCATGTATATATACAAACTGATTGCTGAAAATTATGGTTGGAAAGTAATTCCATATTCATGATGTCTCTCACACTCTTTTGGCTATGGATACCTTCAGAAAGTTAATTCCTTGAGTGGTTTTTATGCCACTACTAATTAGGGGCATGGGGCTTATAGATCTGCCCTTATTTGTCATCTATAAATGGACAAAAGAGCAGAACGTGGGGGAATCATCAAGGACTTGAAAGGGTTTTAAAAACAGTTAAGACTAATTCATAATTCTTGATAAAAATGGAATAAATAAGTCACATGTGCAGAATTTTAATGAAGAAGTGATGGATGGATCATTAATAAAAGAGATCATGCTCTCATGTATCATACTAATTGACATGTTTTGACCCCTCTTACATTGCAGGGTCAAGCCCGCAGACAGTGTTAAGTATATTTATATTGCTAGGGTCATGTGATACATAAATGGTACTAGTATCAGTGGTTTCTCTTTAACATATTCCTCTCTTGTAAGGAACAGTTTTTCATCTATTTTTCATGACTCCTGGCTTTTACATGGCCATTTTTTAGGGATAAATGTTCACTTTTGCTTTTTAGTAAATATTGCAACAGTTTTCAAATCTGGCTTTAAGATAATATAGTATTCATAGTATAGAATTTATTTCTTCAAACCTTTAAAATCTATATAGTTAGGATGTCACATTTAAACTTTGATAATATATAGATATTATATACTGTACAAGACATTGATGTAATACATTATTGGAGTACATATTGTTATAATTATGTTGTTCCATCGTTATAATAACCACACATTTTATGACTAAAATTGTTGATGTAATAAGTTATTGTTGTATAAAATGTTTAAAACTAATATCACCATGGTAAATTGTCATAGAGGATAATAAACTCTGAATTTTGTATTTGTGTGTGCAAACGTTCAGTTGTCTTTTCCTAGCTGACCAAATTGTTCACTTTTAACATTGTTTAAAGAAACCTTTACTGGTTAATATTTTGTATTGAATTTAGACTCTATATTGATAAAAATTATCAATTTCATCAGTAACAAAGCATTTCAGTTAAAGTATAGTATTATGATATTTTATATTTCCAAGCCAGACAAATTAGCACTAAGGAGCATTGGATATAAGTTTTCTGATATTTAGAGTATAAGTGACTCTTGCACAATTTTTTCATGTAATTAAAGATCTATGAAAAAATACAATACAAAAAGAGAACCTTATCACTACCATTAGTATAACTTGTGTATACATGTTACTTGCATGATTTTCAGTTGCATGTTGCTTTTATTTGCATATAGCTGTGTACAAAATTTTAAAATGAAGTCACCCAAATGCTGTATGGCAGCAGTTAAGTTCTTCCCCCATGATTTCCATTAATCTTGGAAAATGGTTAAGCATTGATAGCTCTTATTGTCCATGTGCAGTATTATAAATATCAAGGACATGGGCAATCATATTGGATTAAGGGAAATGGGGGGCTTTATTTCTTTGAATATTTCTCTTAATAGTTACAATAACTCCACACTTTATGCCGTTGATGTTGGAAATGCTATCTTTGTGATCATCAATGTTTTACCATAATTTCTATAAGAAAAAGATCTATATAAAAAGCAAACTGCGTCAAGGAACATTTCATAAAAACATAAAGCTACCCATGGTCAATGATAATAATAGATGATAACTATTGATAGGGTTCTCAACAGTAGTAAAACTTTCTTTGAGAAGATGGTTTAATTTTATTTTCTTCTTTGTTTTGTTTACAGAAAGGGGAAGAAAAGGAAGAGCAAGAAAAGAATGAAGATGAAGAAACTGAAAAAGATAAAGATGAATCTACTGATAGTCCTACTGATGAAAACAATAGTGCAACAGAGCAACAAGAAGCTACACCTGCCCCAGTTGTTGAAACTACACCAGCACCATTTCAGAAAGTTCGTCAGCCACCAGGTGGTAAATCCTCTGGCTTATGGTGATGACCAATCAAATATCTAGATTTAGACAATTTCAATGAAACAAAAACAAAACAATGCTTCCAGTGTTTGGTTTTTTTGCATTATCCTTAAGAGGAAAATGAAAAATGTTAACTTGTACAAATTTGTTTTTTTGCAATAATTTCTTCTAAAGTGTTAATCTAACAATTGAAGGCATTTGAAATTTTAGTGTTAGACTTGATTCAGTCATTTATTTTCATGCATTTTATAATGGGCTATGTAGCTTTGCATTCCATTTCATGAAACTAGTTTCTCGCTTTCATTTATAGGAAGGACGGAGAGATAATGAACTATGTTTTTTCTTATATTTTATTTTTTTGTTGCTCTTTCTAATTTAATGTTATATTTCTTGTGTTAACATGTTTTATTCAGGCCTGTGTTCTTTTATTTATAAAATTCAAAAAAAAATGATCAAACAAATAGAAATGTTTCAAAACATCATTTCTTGTGATACCATATTTTCAACATTATTATATTTTGTTCCATATCTAATGGGGGCCATTTATATTTAGAAGTGTGCATAGGACTTTTGTAATACAATCTTTTTTAGTTCCTTTCATTCCAAACTTAATATTTTTGCTCTTCATATTTTTCGTGGTACAAAAGACATGTTGTGTATATTGTTTTCGTTCTTTTTTTCCCCCTTATTTTTATGTTTTGTCTAACAAACTTTTGTATGTGAAATAGAATATTAGAATTTTTCTCCACAATCACTTATTATACGATTGTATAAGTTTGGATCTTAAGATTTTTGTTTGAGATTAATCTGTATAGATAGTTTCGACTGCCCACCGAATATAGGCAATCAGTTTCACATATTAAAAAATCCTAAACACCTTTGTAGCTTTACTTGTGATATACACATGCTTGCTGTAATGGTGAAAAACGTCACATAAATTGTTGTAAAAATAGTGTAACGATAAAGAAGTTGTTGTTTTTTTTCATAATGCACAGTGATGTCATATTATATCCGGTATGTTCTGTGATCAATTTTGTTTTACTAAATTATGTCCATTTATTTTGTGATCAATAATAATAAAGTACACCAGTGTAACTTGCTTTAAATGTATGTAAGTGTATTGTTTTAAGGAAGAAAAAAAAGGAGGAAAAGTGGAGGTATATATATGTTTAATATATATGTTTAATAAAAGTTTGCTTTATATGCATGTGCTTTTTTAAAGTGTGAACAAAATAAATTGTAAAGGGACCCTTTGTATGTTAAACATGACTGTAATACACATGTATGAAGAAGAAAAAAAATGGGGATCTAATATCGGTGAATTTAGAAAAATGGCATCTAAAAGTTGATTAAATCTAAGCGTTAAGTTCCATAATGCACAAAGGGACTTTGGATAATATATAGAAATACTTCTGCTTTGAAAAGATAAATTCAACATTTTGCTATTTGACATTGATATTCTAGATGTAGATTTATTATATATGTATGTGCGAGCAGATTTATTTTTGCATATTTTTTTTTATTGGAGACTTAGATTTATTATTATATTATTTTTGCTGTAACTATGCATTTATGTAAAAGTATTAAAATAGTTCTCAATTTTGAATCAGCTATGCTCTGTCTACTTGAGGAGTGAAGAAAACTTACATTTAATTACTGTTTTGTTGGAAGGGGAAATTGTATTACATAAGAGCACAGCATGACAAAATCTAAATGGGGGAAAATTTATTTAAAAGGTTATATATGAACAATTCTCAAACTGTACTCTGCATTTTAGTCATTTTGGGTTGAAGGTCATTAACATTTGCATAATTAACTCATTTTATTGGTATTATATAATAGCAATATTTAAACTTACATTTCTATATTAATTTAAAACGACTTGAAAATATTGAATAAAGATAATCCCCAAGTTGAATTCAATAAAGTGTTACTTGACCAGATTGTTTGTTCTTTGTATATATATGATATTAGCAATGGTTGTAACTACTGTTGTTTCCCCCCACCCCCCTGGAGTGTGGAGTCTATATTACTGTAAGTCCAGACTAATTATGAAGCTTGCAGCTTACTTGATCAAGTTCGCTTTCTTGAACAAATTGGTACTGTTTTTAAAGCTCGGATATTGGAAGAGTAGTCACCAGGACAGTTTGCATTACATTTTGGTTTAGTTTTTGCTTGCAATTTTGTATCTTCAAAACTATTGAAGGGAATTGGTTACAACTTCTTTAAGAGTATATAATAATAGGAAGTCACTATACATGGATTTTGAAAGAATTATGGCCCTTTTTGAACTTTCGACATTATTCATGCTCCTTTCTTACTATCAAGCACTGAGAATAGTCAATTTGGCTGTCTGTGGCAGCTCGTGTTTTATGAAACCGAAGTATTACCAGAATTGGGCTTGAAATCACGATCCCATTGTTAAGACAGAGACCTTTAACAGAACGCCACATATTTCCCTGAATGACAAAAACCGTACCGGTAAAAGATAGAGATCTGTATGAAACTTAATCACTTGTAACAAGTTTGATAGAAATCAACTGAAGTTATCACGTCCGACATATTTAAAACCGATGTATTGTATGTGATCGTTAGTGTGTCGGCTATATCGCTATAATTATATGGAATGCAAACATTTGGTAAGGGAAACAAACCTTGACGGCATGGTTTTCATTCTATAGCAGTTTTTTCCCTTCAATCGTTGCCAAAATTACTTGGATCTTTAAAGCGTCATTCATCTTTTATTAAACAGTTCTATGTTGTTCCAAATTTCAGTAATTTTATTTTGGAAAAGTGGAATCTTTCTTCAAAGCTGTGTCCCGGGAGCTAAAATAAAATTGTACGTTAAGTTCTAAAAAATAGAAGTTCTAGAAACGAATCGTCCTCTTTACTAAAGCGGACTGATAGATAAAAGATGTCGAGTGGTTTCCTCATTGTTCATGTATTTTACCGCCGGCAAATTTCATTCTTCTGAGTTGATAATTTATCTAAAAAATAACATGTTTACTCTTTAGAAAAGCTAAAGGCTGCATAAAAGTTTTTTAAGCGAGTTTCAGTGTCTGCTTACTATCTCCCACCAATGGAATCTTTCAAACCGGAAATGTGACAAAAATATCCTTTTTATTCCTGGCGATTTAATTTGTCTTTTTGGGAATGCGATATGTAGTACGTGTATCTTTGATATTAAAAGCTTCCAAAACCAAAGCTGGATACAGTGGCGGCATGGTCGAGTGGTTAACGCGTCGGACTAGTAATCTAATGATCGCTAGCCACATGGGTTCAAACCCCGACAGCGGCAAGTCGTTGTTTCCTTGAGCAAGAAACTACACTCATTGCTCAGTATTGGTTGGTTCCAGGAACGGATTCGAAAGTGTGTCTATAAGCTTATAGCTTCCTACACAATCGAACTAAAATAAATTCTGAATAAACCAAAGCAGGATACGTGCACTAAATAAATTTATCAAAGTATCGGATACGCAACATGTCTCCAGACAGGAGTTATTTCACATTCGCACACTGTATCATTAAACAAGCTTAATCGAGTAGCATCATCTGTTTTAATGTTTCTTATTAAATGTTTCTTGGTCAGCTTCCTATTAAAAATTTCTTTAAATTGTATTGAATCTCTTCTTGGGCGTCTGTGGCCGAGTGACTTATGTCGTTGACTTAAAACCACCGCTGTGGGTTCGAATCCCGACAAGGACATTGTATTTGTTTATGTGAGGAAGTTATCCAGTTAGCTTACGAAACGTCGGTGGTTCCACTCTAGTGAGAAATAATGCACGGAAGGGCACCTCTTCCTCCACCAGTAAAGCTTGAACGTCGCCATATGACCTATACTGTTTCGATGTATCGTAATCAACAATCAAACGAATCTCTTCTGACTGCAAATATTTTGGTGGCGTGGCTAAATTCTTCAGCGCCTAGGGGTTATAATATACCAGTTCCTTGGTTGACAATATCCACTATCACCCCAACAGACTTTTTTTATCTATTTATCACACTTTTCAAAAGTCATTCGAATCTGTGTCGCCTCTACAGTGTAGTGGCGACCTATAGGGATCACTTCTTTGTCGTCTGTCTATCCGTCCGCCCGTCACAAAACTTGTCCGAAATATATACTCCTCAAAAACTACTGGTGTAATTTCATCCAAAGCTCAAGTATTTGTGCATATCACACGAGTTTTCCGGTTGAATGATTTTTGGCCGAGTTATGGCTCATGTATAAAAAAGTTGTTTTTGTGTGTGTTGTCAGCTACACAGAAGCTTGTCCGGATTACTTCTCAGAAACTACTGGTGCAATTTCATCCAAACTTTACAGGAATGATCAGTATCAAGTGTTGTTCTGCATAGCATCGGCTTTTTATGGTTCAATGATTTTTGTCAGAGTTATGACCCTTTAGTTATTTTTATTTTTAATGTTTGTCCGGACTACTCCTCTTATACTTCTAATGCAGTTTCAATGAAACTTTACAGGATTGATTGGTAGCTCAAGTACTTGCGCATATTACACGGATGTTTTGCTTGAATGATTTTTGATTGAGTTATGGCACTTTAATAAATAGGTTTTAATGAAGTTTATCTGGTCTACTCATATACCACTAATGTAATTTCAATTGAACTTTACAGGATTGACTGGAAGCTCAAGTACTTGAGCATGCTTCTGCTTGAATGATTTTGGCCGAGTTTTGGCCCTTTTATAAAAAGGGTTTTTGTTTGCGTTGCCGGCCAGCTGCACAGAGGCTTGTCTGGACTACTCCTTAGAAACTACTGGTTCAATTTTATCAAAAGTTTACAGGAATGATCAATACCATGTCTTGTTGTGCATCTCTTCTGCATTTTTCGGTTCATTGATTTTTGTCAGAGTTATGGCCCTTTATTTGTTTTAATTTTTAAAATTAGTCCGGACTACTCCTCTTAAACCACTAATGCAATTTCAATGAAACTTTAAAGGATCGATTGGCAGTTCAAACACTTATGCATATTACACAGTTTTCCGGTTTAATGATTTATGGCCGAGTTATTGCCTTTGAATAAAACCACGTTTTACCCTGTTAATGATTTGTGTGTCTCCTGGTACACACTAGCTGCAACATGCAAATGGCTATCATGAGGCGACACATGTGATCACTGATCTGCATGATTTATCAATAAGCATACACTTAATAGCTGTCATAGTGGTACTGTCATAGTGGGTGTAAGATAACACTGGCCAGTTGACTGAGTTTTTCAGGAACGTACAATAAATACACAAAATAAGATGGTTTAATGTTTATTTGTGTTTAACGACAAAATAACAGAAGTCATGAAGCAGATATGTCAAAAATGATAAAGAAAAACATGTAAGTTAAAGATAATGACTTTTTATCAAAATACATTACAAGTGTGAACGAATATAAATCTGTTAATATCATTACAAAATTATAATTTGTATACAAAGTATAGAAATAGCCGTATAAATACTATCTAAGCTTTTTTTTACAAAACATCTACAATGTATCTGTACAAAATATGGCTAAATTGGATGCATGTATTATCAATTTATATTGTACTGTACATTACGTAAACAAATAAAATTATGCTAATTCCCGATCTTCGAAAAACATGGTACCATCTGGGTATATATATACAGTATACACAATTATGCCAGGTACCAATTACTCTCACACGACTCTTCTCAAATGTGCTCAGTTGTACCATATACTGTGTACAAGAAAAATATCGACAAAACATAACAATAACATATACGTAAACCGACTAGTCCAACGTATATTTAATATATATAGATTATATATAATTTAAAACCACGTTAGATTCAGTTAAACAAATATACATGAATATTAATGTGCATATGTAAATATAAAATGTAAGTTCTAAGTTACTTGTTTTTATCTATATCATGTACATTTTTATATAAAAAAACATTTTTCTACATCACTATATCTTCACAGTGTTAAACATGTTAATATATAGCGGCAAAGGAGATCCAACGTTTAAATTACCCCATATATGATATGTCTAAAATGTATCCGAACAAATGAAATTTCATTAAATACATAAGTGGAGATTAGATTAACATCGATTCGATGCTTTGTTTTTAATCTATTTTTTAAAAAATCCCCCGTTAGTTTTGAAACACCATTGTCATATACTAGCATCTAATTTGTAAATGTACTTTTACTGATAACTAATTAACTACCAGATCCAATGATTTATGGATGAAGTCGGTTTGAAGCAATATTCTACTCCTGAAAAGTTATAACTAGCCGCTAAAATTAAAGGGACATATATCCCATATATCTGGCACTTGTTTTGAAGTTATAGGCCACACAGTGGTCTTGTCTTAACATAACTAACAGTATCACAGAATACTTAAATCACTCAATTCAATTGTCTATCAGGCATTCACAACACTACTTTGGTTTCAATCACAGGGTTACTCGCATCTCCAACCTTATTGTTACTAAATAGTTCGAATTTTCCAGTGTGAGAACTGGGTATTTTGCACTTCTACTCATAGACTCGCAAGTTCCTAATATTTAGTCACAAATTCTCTCCTCTCCAGTCTGGCCAGTGGTCACCAAGTGTATTAGTGACCTGCTGTACATTCTTCCAGTGACCTGTTTGTCACTTCATTTTAAAACGCAGAAGCTTTGACTTAATTGAGCTCGCGAAAACACATCAGACTCTGAAGTATTTTCTCTGATTCTTTTACAACAATTACTTTTGTCAATGATTTGACACTTTCTACTTTCAATGTTTGAAAACACACATTCTTCATGTGTTCCAACGAAATGCTTCTACGCGTTTCTAGTGTATTGCACCATTTAAATTAATTACATTTTAATGTCATTTACTTGGCTTTCTTTTTTTATCAGGAGAGTCTCCTTTGAGCGAATCTGTGGATTTCCGTACAGTTTTATCTTTAGCTTTAAGTCCAAGTATTTTTCTCAATGAGGGAGACTTTCCTCCTTCTTTTGAGTTAGTTTGTTCCTCTGATCCTTCAGAAGATTCTTCAACTGGTGCTAATTTACCACTTGCGTCTGATTCTGGCCTAACTTTGCTCCCACTACCCCCTATTTTGGAGATAAAACCTTTGATTTTATTATCGTGAGTTTTCTCTTGATCCTTTCCTGTTTTATTTGCGTTCCGCCCAGGTAATCTAAGACTTGCAGCACGTTTCAGCGGTGACACTGCTGTACCAGCAGTTTTGCCCGGAAGAGAATCTGTGTCCTTAGATCTTCTTGGAGGAGGCGTTGGTGGCGGTGAACCATCATCTTCTTCTTTAAGTTTGTCTATTCGAGCTTTAGACGAAGCAGTAGGACTCATGAATGATCTTCGTGGTGTTGTGGCCTTTGCTGGCGCCTCTTTGCTTTGGATGCTATGACCAAACGAAGGCCTAGGCTCCGTAGATTTTACACGCATGGACTGCGATCGTTTGAGTCTGGAAGGTGCATTTGGATCAATTTCGCCTTCCTCTTCGATTGAAGGTGTCGTGGACCGCAAATGAGTAGGTGTTGTATGATGACTGACTGGGGTTGTTGAACGCAACCTACTTGGTGTGGAAGATGTAGACCTACTTGGTGTTGTGGGAGTTGGTGTTTTTGAGCGTCCAGTACTCGGAGGCGTTGGGGCTGGCTTAGATTTTAACGTTTTTGGTGTAGTAGTGGAAGATTTTACTGGAGATCGAACATTCGTGGCACTTGATGATCTCGTAGGGTTTCTTGCACCGATTGTAGATGAAGCATGGGCAGCAGGTTTTGATGCAACTCTGTGAGTCGGAGTTTGAGCCCTAATTGTATGTGATAAAGGTGTTGTGGATCTTGATCCTGGCATAGACGAATGAATAGATGATGGTCTTTCACGAGGACCGCCTTGAGATACTCTCTTTTTCACAACTTGTGAAGAACCTGAATTAGATGCATTGCTAGTTACTGAGGCAATGCTTGTATTCGAACCAGTTCTGGCTTTACTTAGACTCTGATTACTTGAACCTTTTGAGAGACGATTTGACCTTGAGACAGGTGTGCTGCTACTCGAGTTATTGCGACGTTTATCTTCTTGTTCTGGGGTATCTTTACTCAACCGTTTTGAACTACTAGCCGTTCCACGCATATAGCTTGGGACTTTCTTCTCCTTCTTTGGCATACCCATAGACGATGCTGGAGACATTGGTCGAGAGTCAGGACTTTTGATTGTTGATTCTAGGTCAGACTGTTCTGCCCATGAATCTTCCTTAAGTGTACCATGACCGCTATCTGGAGACGTTGCATTAAACTCTACAGAAGAATCAAGAGTTGAATCTTTGTGTATATTTCCTACATTGTTTGCAACGGCTTCGGTCCATGATTCGGTTCTTTCTTTCTTAGTGTCAATAACAGAAGTACGGGCACCTGCTGCAATTATATTTTCATTAATTTGCAATTTACTCATAGGCTCAGACTTTTTACTAAAGCTTGGTACTTGGAACTCTGATTCTAGCGTACTGCTTAGTGATGTTCTTTGAGAAACGGTACCTGACATAGTCTCGAATCCCTCGTCTCGACTGGCGCTGTCAGAGCTGCTGGCATAGCTGCATCGTGAACCTATTTCATTCTGAAGTTCGTTACTTCCCTGAGGTTTATGAATTATTTGCAACCCCTCTGAACGTGGGCTGTTTGACATCTCTCCCTTCATACCATCCACATGATATGCTCTCGGCGAGAGGTTACCAGACTCTATACCGTGGACGTTATCATAAAAACTTTGTCTTCGTTTTTCGTCCCGTTTCTTCCTCCATTTCAACATAGCTGCTTGTGGAAGATCGTCATGTTCATCGAAAGGTACTCTCGCTTCGAAATTATGTAAAGAATTCTCATCAACATTTGCTGGAAGAAGTGAGGAAGGAGTCATTGGCCTATCTTTCCCATCAGGCATTTTATTAACAAATGAAGGTGAAGGTGTTTGAGAATCGCGGACTTTATCTGAAATATTCCGAACGGCCGATTCTCTCCGTGACTGTGCCGGTGAATTTTCACCATCACTACATGCTTCCCGCAATGTTTCTGTCGACGTATTAGTAGATTTGATTGATAACCTACTACTTGAATTTCTCGGACTATCACTTCTTGTACTCGACGTGCTTGACGGTCGCCTTGGCGAAGAAGTACCTACTGTTGCTGTGTCGGCATCGCTATCTTCATCTACGAAGACACGACCATTTCTCCGACCATCTGTAAACATATTCACAGCACTATTTCTTAAAGAGTTTCGTTTCTCGCCAGTTGACATGTTAAAATCTTCATCACTCATTGCTTTTCTAGCAACAGCTTCATCATAAGATTTGGACCGACTCATGCTTTTACTAACATAATCTCTAAAAGCTTCATCAATGTTTTCTTTCTCCACATTACTTTTCCATCGCCCTTGAGAATGTTCTAACATAGCTTTCTGAGATGGACTGTCTTTGTCCCCGAATCTCTGATCACGAAACCGTTTCTTTCCAGCAAGCTTAGCGGCTTTACTCATAGCCTCTTTCTCAGTTTCACTTTTCTTGTCATGATCAGTCTTTTCAACAGAATTTTCATTACTTTTCCTATTTCGGCGAGGCGGTACAATTGGTGATTTTGGTGTAGTTACATTGTTTTCTACCGGTTTAGCATCTTTACTATTATTTTCAGTGTTACTTTCAGGTATGTCCGCTTTATCTATTTTTTGGAAAGCTGCATGAATATCGTCCAATGATAGATTAGACCTCTGTTTTCTTTTGTTACGTTTTACCTTTAAATGTTCTGGTTCATTTGGATCACCCTGTGGTAAAACTGTATTATCAATTTCAGATTTTGGATTAACAGTTGCGGTTACTGTTTCTATTGTACTCTGATCCACTGGATCACTTTTAACCATTTCATCTATTTGTTTGCCGGTTTCTTCAATTGCTTTTAAAACTTTGTCTATATCAGATTTACCTAAGTCACTACGCCACCTTTTATTTATTTTTGACCGTACAGAAACTGCCACTGAATGTTCATCTGTTTTATTTTTCACATCTTCTGCTGTTTCTAACACGCGCTGAATTTGACTATGATTTAAAGAGCTAGAACTAAATCTCCTAGCTAATTTTTCTTTATGTTTCTTCTCAACTAAAGCGAAACTATCGTCCTTAGTTATTTGAATGTCTTCAACATTTTTCGTTTCAAATCGAGACACAACATCCAGTTCTTTTGTTGGAGTAACTAAACGAGCTTTCTCATCAATAATGGGAAGTCCTTTATCAGTTACTTCAGTTCTCCAACGCGATGACCGACGGGCCGGATCGTCAGATTTAAACTGAGATTGTTTTCTGTCAATTGAAAGATTATCTTCACTTTTATTATTATTCGGATCATACATTCGCTTTGGTGTACTATCAGAAGTTGATGACGTAGTACTATCGTACATACTTCTAGTTCTTCTCACATTAGAACCTTTTCTATAGTCGAAATTATCATCAAGAATGTCCGACTTTGGTCTTTCTTTAATTTCAATAACTTCCTTCTTTTGTGCTTCTATATTAGGTGACGGAGCCCTTTCACGACCGAATAAATCATTACCAAGACCTTCACGCTGCATCCGTCTATTTTGACTTCTTCGTCGCAAGCTCTGAGTTCTCACAAAACTTCCATCAGTTGCTGGGGATGATATGCCAGCCTCATTTTCAGGCTGCATTAAAATGTCAAACAACGTGCCATCTGTGTCAACAGCATAACTACGCCTTGACCCAGTCTGGTTAAGTTCATCAATATTTCCATTCAGTTTAGAATCATTATCTCCGGATTCAGCTTCAGTTTTCTTTGATGATTTTCCTCTAATGCTTCTACGACCGGTTCCTCCTCGTACAAATCCAGGACTGACATCATCTCTCGGCGATAAAGGACCACCTGAATTTTCTAGACTGATTTTCTGGACTTTCGTTACAGAGAAATTTGTTTCTCCAAACTTCTTGAATCCACTTCTAACATCAGCAAGAAGCATTTCAACAATTGAACCTTTGCCTTCTGGATCTTCCGGTGTTTCAACTGCATCTGCTGTTGAAGATATAAAAGCCAAAGGTAAGACATTTTGATATAAAATATACATAAAATATTCTCTTGACTAAATGGCAATTACAATTATGGTATAAAGAATAAAGAAAGCAAAACAGAAAATATAAAAAAAGAATAAGGTGTTTACCTTCATTTTTCTTTTGCAATTCCGCTTCCTTCTGCAATCGTTTTGCTTCCATTTTTGCTTCATAAGCCTTTCTTTGTCCGTTTTCCTGAAAAGTTAAGAGAAGAATCGTTTGAGTATATGTATATGTCTTATTAAATGACAGTGAGTCCTTATCAGTAAAAGATACCATAGTATATAATATCCAATACATTCAAAGTATCTAAAAATTGCACCCACTAAGTAAAAACCTTTCCATTCCTGGTATGCTTTATATATATATATACTGTCAATGCATATTTCTTTTTCTCATATACTAAGTATCTGAGGATATTGAAACTTACATAATGGATGACAATAAAATATATCTATTTTTAGTAACTGAATATAAGACAGAAACTGGTATGTTATATGCTGAACTAGATTATGCACAAAAATTGTTACTTTATACGTTGTTTACGTTATGCAACTTACTACGACGTAGTTCATAAAGAGAGGTGTTTATGTTTTAAATTCTTTAAAATTCTTTAAAACATAATACTTACCAGTATGGCTTTATTAAATCTATCACAGAAGGTCTGCAGTGTCCTGAAGCATTCCTCAAGTTTGAACGTCTTATCCTCCTCACAGAAGAAGTCTGACAGCTCTAGACGGAGACTTTCCATGTCTTTCAAGTCTTCTTTTAGATTATACATCTCTGTCCTCGCCGTCTGCAATGAGATAACATATTCTAAGGTTAAATGAATATATAAAAAAACTTTGTCTGAAATAATGCGTTCAACATTAGGCATGCAGCTTAAAAGAATTAACTATTAAAGGACAGTCCGATTCCTTTTTAGGGTGTTGTGAACAGACTTTTTATTTGAATTACTTGAAATACTCAGGTCAGCCTGAAACATTGAAATAAGGAACATGATATTGGTTTATGCAAATAAAACGGTTTGTTTCAAGACAAAATTATAAACAACGATGAAATGACGTGCACTGATGTACAAACATGAAATGATGTACAATGATGTATAGCTGATGAAAGAATTAATGTAGCACCGAATAGGAAGCTTTTAAAGCTTAAAGCTTTAAGGTAGTACACCCCTAATGGGCACTATAAGGAATTGTAAATTTGACAACATAGGACAGTTATATGCCTTAAATGTCACCTGTATGCAAAATTTTAAACAAAATTTACCGTGTGGTTTATGAGTTATGGACATTTTTATGAACTAAAACTTTGCCATTAGAAGGCATTTTTTCAGAAATGAGGAAACTCTAAATAATCTATAATATCATCATTATGAAAAATGTTTTCCTTTTGCTCATTGTTAAGAAATAAACAATGACATATAGGTAACAAATTAAACAAGCAAAATGATTGTTTTTAAACGAAATGTTTTTAATATGTAATAAAATGTAACCCTACCCCACCCACTTTTAACACTAATTTGACCATTTCCCTATGTAAAAAGCCTTATTTAAAATATCCCTAAAATTTTCCAAAATGAGGGGCTATTTTCAAAGTTGGCCTAAATTTTTTTTAATGTATATTGGTTTGTCTTGCAAAATATAAAATACTTTTACCGTTTAGTTTTTATTTTATTAAACTTTGAAAATATCTGGTATCATATTTGCTATTAAATTTGGCATTATTTAGTAAATAAATACCTACAATAATTATATAATTAAAATAAAACACTTTTTTCTTCCATAGGGGGTCTGAGAGATTAATAAAAAATGTTAAAAAGAAAAAAAAGAAAGAAAAAAAAATGCCCCTTCTGGGGATTGAACCCACGCCCTCTCAGTTTCAATACACTTTACAGTGATTTAAGCCTATTTGAATACTCTTCAAAGTGGAGACAGGGCATTAGGGGTGTACTACCTTAAATATATAAAACTCTATAAATAAAATAGCACTTGCATGTTCATACTTCATAGTACACGTACATGATACTATCATCAACAAACTAAATGTTATAATTAATTTTCTTTTGACTTCAGCTTTGACGGTCAGATTGTAATCAATGTTGTAATTTACCTTTAAGAATCCCTCCATTTGTCGTTTGAAGTCTGAACCTACTGAGTCAATATTCGTGTTGATCCTTTCCAGTTTCTCATCTAGAGATTTGATATCAGAAGTTAAACCGTCAACAGACGCCCTGAAAAAAAAATTAAATGACATATGTTAATAGGATTTATTTTAGGATATCATCGAAAGGCACAGAAACAAATAATAAGTTTCATTTTGGTTGGATATAAAATTGATAATTTTGCAGGCTCGGCTTTGATCGAGCTCTTCAATTCTAACAACTTCTCCAAATATATTAATAATGGCCAAACAAGAGAAACTTTACAATGAAAAATGTTTTCTTAATTGACTACGATAATGCAGTTTACTTAATCATTTTAAACAACACATTTATTTTTGAATATTTTCAGAAATATTCGCTTAAGTTCAAAAATGTGTTAGGTACCAACACATAAACTATTTTTGGTACATACACATCATGGCGTTAATGTGTTCATAAACGAGCAAGAGTGAGACATTTCTTCAATTTACTAGTTTTCAGATTTCAATCATGTAATTAGATTTCTCCGTGGGTCATAGAATGTCACTTAAGTAACTCTTTGATCACAACTATGACATGTCATATCTGAGTTTATATCGCCACAACTGTGAAATTTTACGCATCTTAACATTAAGCTAGTAAGATACCTTTTATCAAAAGTTATAATATCAGGATTATACTCAACCATATGTTCAGAGTTCAGACCGGAAAATAGAATCAGACCTAATATTCAAATAAGTGATTGACAGTTCAAATACTAGTAAGTGATTGACAGTGATTTAAAACGTCGATAAGAAGTGAATGTCTGTATGTGTGTATGTACACATAAGGATATAAAAATGATGCGTTCATTGAATGTCGCCCTTCCTTTTTGATATCTGTTTTCATACTTTCTTATATCTTAACATCGCGGTTTGTGAATGCTTATGTTGAATTTGAAGTCATGTAGGAAAATATTAAGTTTTAAGAGGAAAATATGTTGCGGTTGTATAGAAAAGATGGCAATTGTCCTGTGGAAGGTTCATTTAGAAGTCTCTTCAATGTATTTGATTGTTACCTATTGAAACAAAGTCTTATTGCTGACCAACAAAATCATATATTGTACACGTCCGCTCCGTCTATGGCTTAAATTACAATACAAAACATTACTATAGTTTAGAAACCTTATGTAGCCAATAAATGTCATTATGTTCCGTGTTTTCTCACACAAGTAAAATCAGTATCATATTCCTTGTCTGTTGTTCGGAAGAGTTTCTCATCTAACCATGCGAGAGTGACTTTCCGTGTTATAAGACAATATTGTTCAGACCAATTAGGTAATAGGCTGATCTTCCTTACGGCGCCTTAGCACGCACGAGAAAAACGGGAAATTACTGCGCGAGAACAAAAGCGGTAAATAAAAAGTGATACATATATTTTTTTATTACCGGATACCTCACCCTTAACATTAATAACCGATAAAACGATACAAATACTTTAAAAGGCTGTTAGATGTAATGATTTCCTCCCTAAAATCCAGTCTCTAGCTTTCCCCGAATGACTTACATTTTTAACTCCCCCACCCCCCTTTCTCCCGGCATTTTTCAAGGTTGGGGCAACAGATCGTAATTTCCATTTTAAAAACGTTTAAGAATCAGTCGTTGCGCAATAAATTTATCTTCCGTGCATTTTCATTTAAGTGAAGAAGTTAAAATTATGGCAATACTGTAATTGTCTCATTACACACTGAATTAAACTTGAATATTTATATCCAGATATATTTGAGCCGCGTCACGACAAAACCAACATAATCGGTTTGCGACCAGCATGGATCCAGACCAGCCTGCGCATCCGCGCAGTCTGATCAGGATCCATGCTGTTCGCTTACAAACTCTATAACAAAGAGAGAAACTGATAGCGAACAGCATGGATCCTGTTCAGACTGCGCGGATGCGCAGGCTGGTCTTGATCCATGCTGGTCGCAAACCCATTATGTTGGTTTTGTCATGACGCGGCTCATTTCATTACTAGTAGCTGGTTCACCTTAAAATATATACATAGGCATTAAAGCTTGTCAGGGTGATATGTTCAATTTCTTAAGGAATTACTTTTGTCATTTAATCGAGAAAATTCGTAATATTTCATTAATTTCTTTATTTTACTATAAATTAAATAAGCGCCGATATCACAGTGAACAAACAAAAAATCGTGACGATTGAACGCTTGAAAATAATTTCTGGAGTTCCTGACAAATAAAAGGAAATCTTTTTTTTTTTATCAAAAATATGATTTTGTTTTTTTTGTCAGCAAGGACTATTTTAAAATGTTCATAGATTTGTCTTTGGTTTTAATGTACACACATGTATATGTAAATGGTTCTAATACTCATTTATACATTTTCTCTACATTGACGACACCCGATAGGTAGAGGACACTCGATAATGTTGTTATAACTGTGTATTATTGTGAATTTTATGTTTGTATGTATGTATTAATGTATATACATTGTATATGCAAAAAATATGATAAAACTAAATTGAGCCGCGTCACGACAAAACCAACATAATTGGTTTGCGACCAGCATGGATCCAGACCAGCCTGCGCATCCGCGCAGTCTGATCAGGATCCATGCTGTTCGCTATCAGTTTCTCTACTTGTTATAGGGTTTGTAAGCGAACATCATGGATCCTGATCAGACTGCGCGGATGCGCAGGCTGGTCTGGATCCATGCTGGTCGCAAACCCATTATGTTGGTTTTGTCGTGACGCGGCTCAATTGTAGATGAAAGTCGCGACAAGGTGCAAAACATGAACATATTACAACTGTTCACACCATCTCTGAACATGTCGCTTTAACGATGTGTGAACAGATCCCACACGTATCAATTCTGCTCGAGGCGTATCTATCAATTTAAATTGCCTCCTTTCTTAGACGAAATGCAGTTTTGCTTCAACAAAAAAAAAATCTCAATTTTACACGAACAGTGCATACAGACGTGTTTTATAATTGATATATTGTTAAGCAGATACTTAAAATCAACCATCTGTATGTAATTTTACCAGAACACTGGGACAAGGAAAGATTTTTAAGGAAATCCTACCCTAGGATTGACAACTGAAAAGTGGCACCATCAGATGCAAAAGTTAATCAAGTTTACATGAACTGTCTAATGAACTATACATGTATACTTTTGAATACCATCTATAAATTGTCTAGATCTAACTTGACATGCTATTTTTTGTTTAAACGTATTTTGGGCGTCTTAAGGGCATATTTGGGACGTATTTAGAGTATATTTGGGGCGTCTTAAAAGCATATATAATACTTTTGTTACCATAACTACCGCGTTCATTGTGATACGTAAACAAAAACATGTTTAAAACTTACTGAGATGCTTCTTTAAGAAATTTCATTTCATCCGGGAACTTAAGGAGTGCCGGATTCTTTTCTTCGGCTTGCTGCAAAAAAGCAATACAAAAATTCAAATAAAAACACTTGTAAACAAATAACCCTAACAAAACTGCAGAATTAATTTGACACCATGTACAGCAATAACCACTGATACCATTTTCGTTAGATAAATAGCTTTTAATATGTTTGTTTACAGAGATTTCAGACAATTTACAAATTACCGGATTTTCAATGGAAACAATTTTTACCTTGGTCTAACCTTGTATTGATACACTATACTATTGTGTTTATATTTTGTTAGTCCAATCAAACAAAGCAAATACAATAAATAATAAGTTTATTCAGCATTTAGGTCTTTGATTTTAAATGTTTTATAAACAAGAGCAGGTCTATGTAAACATATCGACTACAAATCATGCAAAGTTTAAATAGATAAAACAAGAAAAAACACCGCTTAGGCAAACACAATTTGTTTGAAATTTTCGCTTACTCACTTTCTAGAGTTACAGTAATTTGCACAATTGTGCATTCTCACGGATGCACATCAAAGTGAAAAGCAGGCGATAAATATTTCCCTCCTTTTATAATATCAATATTTATTGATATCTATTTTCAACAATGAGAGCATTAAAGTTAGTTACCATAACAACATAATGCATCAGATTCATCCGCGGTTTATTGGCTCTAATTTCAGTAAGTTTCAGCAGAGATGAAAGTTTGAAACCCGCAGCGTCACCGGCATAGTTTCCCTGCAAAAACATAAAAATAATACATAAAATGTAAATGAGCCGCGCCATGACAAAACAAACATAGTGCGTTTGCGACCAGCATGGATCCAGACCAGCCTGCGCATCCGCACAGTCTGATCAGAATCCATGCTGTTCGCTTACAGACCCTTTAACAAGTAAATAAACTGTTAGCGAACAGCACGGATCCTCATGCGCAGGCTGGTCTGGAGCCATGTTGGTCGCAAACCCATTATGTTGGTTTTGGCGTGACGCGGCTCAAATGTAAATGATTGTGGTTCTAAATAGATAGTAAATAAGTTCTATTTTTTGAAATACATAGAAGCATAAAAGCGAAGTCCAACTTTTGTATACAAGAGCAAAAGCGTAAAAAATCATAATGAATTGCTGTTGTTGTTTTTTTGTATTTAATTTTCAAAAAAAATTTCTGATCTAGGGCATTTTTACTTATCAATCATAATGGTCATATATTTTAGAAAGTGAACATCTCTAAAGCAAGCCACTTTGACATTACTACACCAGATGTCGCAATAACGAACATTTTACGCACGATTTAGACCTAATTACAAATCCATTTTTCACTTTTTTTTGCTAAATTTTTATTCATTTCATTTACATTTCTTTGTTATGACAATAAATAACATTGTAACTGTTCCATTAATTAACAAGTAACTCCCATAAATGTACATATTTTCGCCATATATAACCTTGGAAATGAAAGTCAGCTTAGTTTATACAGTTTACCATGACATTTCAAACAATACCATTGTTTTAATGGACCAAAAAAATCCGTAAATCACCCACAGTTTACTACTGATAAAAATACGTCCTCTCTTGACATTTTTATATTCAATTTATGCCCTTTTACAAACTAAAAATGACAAAAAAATAAATTCAGGAGGATAAATTGAATTAAAATTAGTAGTCTTCATAACCACAAGTCATCCGATCTACAGTTAAAAAACAAGTTAGTACCAATACTTTTAAAATTACCAAAAAGACTTATAAAATACCAAAAAGGATACAGCTTAATTTGTTAAACTTTTATTTGACTCCGTGTTAGACGTTCATAGATTTTGATTTCAACAGATAATTATAAAAAAGATCGAAAATGCGTTATGCTGTTTTGCAAATGGATCACCATAGATTTATATATGTCGGTGGTCGAGAGACAAAAATGTTCAGCGTTCATCGTATGCCTATCAAACTTTCATTAATTTTTTGGCAATTTCATTAGGCATTGGCACTGCTGTATTGAATCCTTGATTTGTTGAACGAACTTTACACCAAACGAATAAAGTGAATTAAAAACAAAACTTGAGCCACAAGCAGGGGGCACAAACAAATTGATTCTGGCGCAATAAATATCGCAGACGATACTTTGTATCACAACGCGACATCAAACATTCACTGGAGGTTGAAAGCATCAATATATTGAACAGATAAACAAAAACAAAAATCCTGAATAGTTAACAGAAACCAAGATAAAAGTAAATGTCACAACGGTGTGTTTTTTATATTGATAAATCTGACAAAACAAAGCGCCCATTAAATGTTCAATTGACAATGAAAGCGTCTGAGTGATGGAGATGATAAGAATCGGCAGACGATAACATTGGTGGATATCACAATTCCTGATTTGGAAGCTTCGAAATAAAAACGTTAATGGAGGCAAAATATTGAATATATAAGAACACAGTTAAAGGGAAACATTATCTAGACTTCAATAAAAATTATAAAAGTTTGCTCAAGAATAGTGTAGAGGTCAATTTAAGCCAAAATGTAAATGTAAAATAGCCATGAATGTACGTCAAAGTTAAAAGGTATTTTTTCACATTCAGCACTGTAAAACATTTTAGCCTTTAAGTTAAGGCCAGGAACCAACTAGTTAACATTCGGGTTTCTTATACTGAAGTTCTTTTATTACAAATTTCACTGCATTGTCAAATGCACATTTTCCACCCAGTTCAAATACTTACAGCGTTCAAGAAGTTTCCGGCTAACAAGACGAGGTACAACAACTCATGTAAATTCTTGTTTTCTTTCACGTCTGAAATAACACAGTAAAACAGTTGTTAAGATATATTGTATTGCAAGTAATTTTACTAAGTTACATGTAATTTTCATTGAATTATATGTATCATCTACATATACGCATGACCTTTTCAACCTTTCATGTGTATTATTATCTTAATAAAGTATATCATATGTTACAATGCTATATCATTTAACATAAGCTTGGCCTGGGAGTCGATAACGAAATAATCTCTTAACTTAAAACTCTTAATGTGGTGTTGTTATTATTTGGGGTATTTTTTTAGATGGGTGGAGCTCTATTTGCATTTTTTCTCTGTGCTGTGTCATCGAGCATTTTTGACAATTTAAACAAAAACAATTTTCTAAACGATAATAGTAGATGCATCCCGTATTACAATTTCCTTTACAAAAAATGCTATTTCATGTAATTTCAAAAATAGTTTATCCGTTATTTTAAAGGTTAAAGAACAAATAAAATATAAATAAAGAGCTTAAATTGATAGTTTAAAACTAAAAATTGATGCTGTGTATCATTACTGTTTGATAAAACTCTTTGAACTGTTACGTCAGAGAATTTTATGTCGTCTGCAATAGATCATAATTTACATCTTTAAAACGGTAAAGTTTTACACCTGTTATTGTCTCTTAAAGGGTCTGCCAATTACATGATGCAGATGAAAACGCGGAAATTATCATCAAACGAGAAAATAAAGTAAGCGTTCACAAAGAAAAATAAAAGTTCAATAAGTCACACTAAAACAAATGACAAGAAACACACATGAAGACCTGTTGCTATTTACTAGTCAAAATGTCGAAAGAAATCTTTTCTAGTTTTGGCAGACGAGAAAAGTTCTTAGCAGGGTTTTCATTTAATTTCAACACAACATTCTAATAATTTAATATTATTCCAAGACAGAACGACAAGGGGAGGCGGGGGTAACTATTTGGACTCCATGGTGACAAATCGCTGCACATTTACGACAAAATGTCTCAAAAACAATTAAATAAAAATGTAAGGTCATTTTTCTTCTTTAGTTAGTATCTAAAGTTTATTTTAATAAATATGTTAAACATTTTCATGTAACAAACAAAAGTACGATGAACTGTTGCTGGGTCATATTTTATGACTTTATCACGACAAATTTACGACTTCATTTAAATGAAATTTACACTTTATATTAAGAACATTTATAATAAAATAACTATAAAGGACCAATTAATTTCTATGTAATTTTCTTATCTTTACTAATTATTGATAACTTCGTGTATAAACTGGGGGTTTATTATTCATTTCATAAGAATTCAGTTTCCAGATGGTTGCTGCTGTTGTTGTTGTTGTTGTTGTTGTTATTGTTTAAAGTAAACTTAATTGTTCGAAAGATTAAAACCCCAAAACAAAAACTCGACTCGGAATCGTTAATTATGTAATATCAGACCAGCACGCTCAATTCTCCATATTTTATCTTTTGTCGATATCTTAAAATTACATAAAATTAAAAACAGGACCAAAATATCTGTTTTCAAAAGCCAGCGCACTTTAATATTGACCCCTTATTTTGGTTTAAAAGTCATATTTAAAGACTTTCCTATGCGTCATATGAATGTTTACATTTATTTAAAAAAATTCAATTGTTAATCAATTTCTACGCGTCCAGCTCTAAAAGTACTTTGGCCCAAAAATCACTGAAGCTGATACCAATTGAATCAAATATTCTACAATACCTCTATATTTGTATTCAAATAGGGGCATATATTTGTAAATTAAACACGTCAATAAGTAATAGTTCAGATATTTATCCAATACAAACCATTCTCATTGAATTATATTCTAGCTAGAATAGTAATCAATTTGTTTAAGGAATTAGTCTACAAATGTAGTGAAGTTGTTGTTAATCTAATATTTGTGAAAGATTTTAACATATGACAATGTCATCAACACAATATCTATAACAGGTGTCATATCGGAACCTTTTTCCTCTACTGACTTACTTAAATGGACATGAGGGGGCATGAGGGATGTTGCACTTTTATATTATCCCTCATGTACAGACTCAATCAAACCGAGTCTGCAATTTTCATGCAATATTGTTGTGACTAATGCTTCCAAGGGAAAACCCTTTTCCAGATTTTTTGTCCAGCTTTTGGAAAAGTTCATTATCATTTTTGGAGATATCAATATGTGATGAATTGAAGTTGGTTAGCTATTAGTAAAGCGTCTGTTAAGACTGCAAAGATGTTCAAACATGCCCGACACTAATGGTCAACAGTTCATCATGTAAATGTTTCCCTCTCACTAGGTTGTGTGTAAATGGACTGTTCCTTCTACGAATAACATAGTCCATTGCTTATTTTAGGGAGTTCAAGGTCTCATTACGACAATTAAATAACTAGCTGGCTTCACTTATATAGTGGCATAGCCTTAGAATTACAGCCGTCTGTGCTGACAGCAACAACACAAACATACAAATTTTAAAGGGGTCAATACGTTACAAATTAAGTAGTATTACCTTTGGCGGCTTCTATAACGGAATCAATTGAAGGTCTTATATACTCAATGTTGGCATTGAATTCTTCTTTAATGAGTAGACCCTCCACTCGCAGACGATAACTGTAAAGAAATACAAATAATGTCACCAATACAACATGAAATGTATAACAACTCACAACATATAAGGACAACTATCTTACTTTGGTATACTTGATTGTTACGTTACCTTAGAAATAAGCTATGTAACCTCGCAATAGACTATTTAATGGAAACAAACCCTTGCACTATGCCATTGTTACAATGAAAGTTATCTTATAAAGTAGCTACACCATTTAATGACGAATAATAATACTTAAAACAACCTTTGTTTCTTTCTAAATAGCTGAGTAACCCTAAACATAATCTACGTTACCCTTGTAATAAACTACTTTACCCTTGTATTAAACTACCTTATCATAAAGATAAACTACATTACCCTATTAATTAACTAAGTTATCATAAAGATAAACTACGTTACCCTATTAATTAACTAATTTTCAAATAGTGTCACTATAATATTAATAAACATTGTCACTGTTAGGTTATTATTAACAACATAGGAAATTTATTGTGTCACTTACGTGATGTATAAACGTAAAATTTCAAATAATAAGAGAATATTTGTAATACAAAAATGAAAAATGTATGGTTTGTTTTAACTCTGTAATTATATATTATGCAAATTAGGACATTTGTTTGCATAATTAGCCAAGTCTCGTCAAAACGAATTAATGTAACCACCTGTTTATTTCTACATAAAATTAGCATACGTGTTTCAATTTAAACAGATGTAAGTACAAGACAAGTTCATTTGCTCGTCGGGCATTCACTATGGTGTCAAGTTATGATACAGTATACTTAAACATGTGAACAGAAATAGCACATAGGGGTCTTTAATACTAGTATATTTTTTATCTTGTTAGAAATGAAAATCAAGTAAAACAACATGGAATGATTTTGATACAACTTCAGACACCCGAAACTTACTTAGGCAGACCCATAAGGCACATGAAGAATTTTTCTGCACTTCCCAGCTTGGCTCGGTCACCATCGAAACTTCGAAACAAGTCCACCTGAATTGACAAAGAAAAAACGCATATTTCAACATCAATTAAATCAACATAAAACCAATTATATCTTCTCGGATGAAGAGCTGAATCGTGTTTTACTTGTTTGCTTTAATAATTTACGTTTGTTATATATAGTCCACTCTATAAACCTTGTTTGCCTTTTTTCAAACCTTTGCAAACACTGGCATATTGTATTCCACTTGAACCTCATTGTCAAACATCTTGTTTTGTATTTAGTTTTTTTGCCACCGTTTCCTTTCAGCATTACGTTCAATGTTGAAACTTTCGTTCATATGTAAATCTTTTGGCGGGTTGAAAATCTCTTTTAACGATTTCAAAAACTTTGAAATATTTTTGCGGTTAAAATCTATGAACGAGTACAAACAACTAGCACAATCACTGTAAAATGCGTTTTCAGCAAAATTTATCTGGTGCATCATAATTTACAATACAATTAACCGATTCTTTTTTAAATTCTTTTGTAAACATATTTCAAAAGGATACCATTGTAAAATGCATTGGATTTGACTTTGAAGAATTCACTTAAACAGTTAACAGACATTGTTTCTATTGATACACTTTATGAAATTCTAAATTATGAAATTTTACATCTCTACTTCATGACCTTCTTCATTACAAGAAAATTTCCATGCAAGCAAATTTTTATAACTTCATCTGACAATCGCGAAATGCAAAGACATGCGAGTTATTTCTTATCTATTTTAACAGAATGAGTACCTCTTCCTGTGAAGGTAATATCTTTTGGAGACTTTTGAGTTTTTCAGCACCGAATTTATCACTTTGTCCTAGCTGCAACAGTTGTACAATGTCCTCATTTGGCATACGAAACTGTTTCAAGAAGATGTTCACATTCAAACTCCGTTTACCATCCAGCAAGTTTACCTAGAAAATAACGTGCACGGTTTTTTTTTTAAAAAAATTCTAGAATTCAGAAAAGTGGTTCATAGAGAAATGTGTTGTTTCAATGAAGCATAATGACTTGAACAGTTTGTCTATTTGTAGTAAAGGTAATGATAAAGTCAAAACGTTTAAGGGTTTAGAAGGATACTGTAACAGGGATTAGAAAGGTAACGGACAAACCCTTATCTCAATGTCACATACTGGGCCTTTATTTAATGACAATATGTTCAGAAAACATATAAGTAAATACATTCAGTCGCTCATACTTTCATCACATTTTTATCACTTGTTTTAGATGTGACCTTATTCATCGTGATATAATGAATTTTGTCAGTATCACTTCAATAAATTCCGTAAATTAAGTTAAGTGTCCCTATTAAAAGACATTAGTTTATCTGTTGTGTTCTAGAAAAAGAATCTGATAAATCAATGAACAATCATGTTGATTGTCGTAAATGAGATTTTTGCGATTGTCGTAAAAACATTATTGGAATAGCGACACCATTATCAGAACAGCGAAACCATTATCGGGACGTAAAATCTATTAAAGGCGTGAGTAAACCGGAACCGAGTTATTCTGATATTCTACTGTTACAAATATTAACTTTTGATTTATGTCTCTTAATTCAGTGAAATTTAGTAATTCAGCCGGATGACATTCTACATAATGTCATTTATCTCAACTTTAATAAAAGAATCGTTCAAATATTATTCATAGGTTATCTTTTCTTAATTCTTTACTAGAGAGAGGAATTGTGCTTACAATGGTAATTATTGTGTACGGATTTCTATTCACTTATAAAGACAATATTCCAAACTTCATACTACATATTTAGGTCTAAAAACTGAACTTTTTGACAAGTCACACTCTTTTATATAAGATATATTATGACGATTATACATTTGAATGTTTTCATAGACATAAACGGGTGAGAAGAATAATCATGTGTGTGCTTCTTTAACATACAATACCTCTTTTTTTATAGGTTTACACATTTAGCCACCCATTGATAATTGTGTGTTAAATCATCACCTCTTAGAAACTGCCAATAACTCTCAATTCTTCATTTTAATGATATTTAGTTTGCAAATCAAAGCAAACACTATTACATAAATTCCAAATTTATCAAAAACGTTGTCGAACAAAGCGCTGACTGTACCTTGTAATTTCTTTAGAAATGATCAAATGTTATGAATTCACGACTGAAATCTGTAATAAATTGGGGTGTACCGCCAGGCTGCCATTTGTTAAATGTTTGCACAATACGCGCACGATTTGTTTCTACAATTTAATGACATACCCGCCCCAAAGGTTGAAACAAGGAGAAATAGTGTCTAAATAGGTCGTGGACTAAATATTTCAAGTGCATATATTAATTGTCCATGATTATTAAGTTATAAAACAGTACGTTTGGTTACATTAGAACTTTATGTTAGAATTGAATTGTGTGTTATGAAAGAAAAGAAAATTAGAAATATTTTATTTTTGTCAATTTTGCACCATGCAGAAGTAAGTGGATAATCTACAAGAGACATTAAAATACGTATACACCGTGCACCCAACATCACAAACTTTGTATTTTATATTGATGAAGAAACACACATAAACGTGTTTGTTTCATCTTTATATAATAATAACAATTCATTTTTTCATGTATTATGAACACCTTTGTTCTAAGTTTGAGTCAATTTTACCACACAGTCAAATGCCACTAAATGAGATAACAAAAACGATTGGCTGAAAGTCGCAATAAGAATCTTTTTGTCCAATCACACTGCTTGTTATAATGCGGATTTGACATATTTTGTTGAACTTATAAACTTAAATATTTATTTTCTAAATGATATGTAACTCGTCTTTTACTTAGATAAAGCCTCGGTCTCACTTACTCCCGGCAGAGCCCAGGACCATCCCGGTAAGTTACCGGGATGATCCGGGACGATCCGGGATGAAATTATTGTTGCGGTCACACTTACCCCGGCAGCACTACGGTACTTCCCTACTAACCACCCAGGATGCGCTCCGGATCATCCAGGCAGAGCCCAGGTGAAGCTACGGTTCATGCCGGTGCTTCCCCGGTCGTTCCCGGATGACGCCGGAAGAGCCCCGGTTGACCCAGGCAGAGCCCCGGTCGATCCAGGCAGAGCCCCGGCAGAGCCCAGGACGATCCAGGCAGAGCCCCGGTAGAACCCCGGTGGATTGAAAAAGCCCGAAAATGATAACTTTGATACATAATTTTTATTTAATATAATATCTATTGTTCCAGAATAGTAATTCATGATGATTTTCTGAAAAATCCTTATACCATACTGGATAAAAGGGAAATGGGAAGGCTTTTAATACAAACAAGTTCAATAATCACAAATTGTCCTTATTTTTTTTAAATGATCCGGGCTTTGCCGGGGCTTTACCGGGGCTCTACCGGGATCAACCGTAGCTCTACCTTTTTCCTCCGGGGCTCTGCCTGTAGTTACCGGGGCTCTGCCGGCATATACCGGGGCTCTACCGTAGCTCTACCGTAGCTCTACCGGCTATATCATACCCCGGATCATTCCCGGTTTGTGCCGGCAGAGCTACGGTGCTTTCCCGGTATCACCCCGGTCGTTCCCGGCAGAGCTAAGGATGATGCCGGCAAAGCTATACCTTCCCGGATCATCCCGGACCACCCCGGTGATATTAAATATTTTATTCCATCCGGGGTCGAATGCCGGATGTTCCCGGATCATCCCGGATCATCCAGGACGTTGCCGGCAGAGTTACGGATGTACCCCGGTTGTTCCCGGTCGTACCCCGGTCGTTCCCGGATCACCCCGGACGTCTACCGGGGCTCTGCCGGGGCTCTGCCGGGATGTAAGTGAGACTGTAGCTTAAACAGTATATAAACCACGGCTTTAATTTCTACTGACAATACAACAGCAATGCAGCTATCATTGTGACAGGAGTACACACCGCTCTTCCATTATAAACAAATAGGTCAATAGACAGAATAATGTATACAGTTATGTTAACACAAGTATTGTTGTTTTTAACACAAATAAAATGTTAAGACATAAGAGTATATGACATATAACTACACGTTGTATTATATGTTTATATAATTCTTGCATTATTCTGTGTATATAATGATATAATGTATAATACAGTTGAGATAATACATCATACCGGAAACGATGATTCCCATAATTCTTCCTGCAATAAAATGTCACCTTAATCGTTGAGGACATTAAATCTAAAACTGCCTGGAAGTAGGTCATCATAAAAAATACTATTCTATTCCATGATTGAGAACATATCAGTGTTTTACAAACTTTACATGTGTTTCATATTTCATATTGAAGTCAAGTTTTGTTGCCATATTAAACAGCACTTAAGCTTATTTAGGCTCACTTTTAGCTGTCAGTAAAAATGATAACTTCTAAAAATATATTAAACAAATTCACAAAATCTCAATGCAAATGGAAAGAAAATTGCAAGTTTACTATTAGTACATAAATAGATAAATGAGTGCGTCCATCCTTACCTCAGCGTTTTCTTTTCGTTTCTTTTCAATGTTATTTGAACCGTCGGTGACATCTTGGTTATCTTTTTTCACTTTATTTACACCAAACAAGTCTTCAATTTGTTCGTAGTCCATTTTTGATACATATCCATTGAACATTTGTCCAGTCATGGTCCAAATGTTATTTTTACCCATGACTTTATTTACTGGAATTTTTTGCCACTGTAAAGTTCTCATTTTATACTTGGACTTTGGTATATTTTGTTGTGGTAATTTCTTCTGTGGTTTACTTAAAAACCCACCGCCTGTTGGTGGGGGAGGTGGAATTCCTGCCCCTGGGGGAGGTGGTGGAGCTGGAGGACCTCCAATCCCAGGCGGTGGGGGTGGGGGAGGGGGAGGAGCGCCGCCACCAGGTGGCGGTGGCGGCGCTGGGGGAGGAGGTCCTCCAACCGGAGGTGACGTCATTTGTGGAGCTTGCTCGCCGCCATCTTGAACACCGGGGATAGATCTTCTCGGGGAAGTTAATCTATGTCTATCAACTTCCGTGTGGCACGAACAAGTACACTTATTGTCAAGTTTCTTAGAGAAAGACTGTAGTAACTTCTTTGAATCTTCAACACTTTCTATAACAGTTGCTTTACTGGTTAAATTTTCTACAGTATCCCATATAACATCAGCTGTCTTTTCACTGGGATCTATTTTCAATAAATGTTGAAGAACTGTCAGAAAGTGAATCTCCTGAGGCGTGTTTTCAACCTGCGGATAAAACGAAAAAAGGTAAAATATTCATGCTTTTTTAATTTAGATCAACATACAAGTATATAGTGAAAAAGAACATTTTTCGAGAATGAGTAAGCGAAAGATAACTGATAAATATAATTACCATAAATACTTTTAATACTCGATTAATTCAATCATAGTCTGCCGTATTATAGTCTGCTGCCCCGAGGTATTTTCTCATCTTTCTTTTTTATAGGACAATGTCATCAATATTTTTAGAAAGGGATTGTCATCATTTTTTAATTACATTTTTTGAGTAATTGATAAATCCACTGATTTTAGACTCAACTCAGACTGTTCATTAACAAGGAGACGCATAAATTTAGATTGGTTCGCGTGGGCAACAAAACGCGAGCGGGAAATTTTTGATGACAAAAATTACTTGATTTAGAGGCAGACGACAATGTTTTCTTATGAAACTTATCAGTAATATACATGTATTTATTGCCAAATCATGACTAGAAGTGTTCCTATAGCGTCTGCGGGAAGTTTTGACACCATGTAAGGTCTTTGTTTGTATCCACGAGTGACAGGGATGCTGATATACAGTGACACGTGACCTTTTCTTAACAAACTCGGTCGTCTTTTCCGTGAAGACTTATGTTTTACACCGTATCAATTGTATAACATGAAACTGACCTTTATAATGATGACAATTGCAACTTTTATTACTTCTTTTATCCGATTTTGTTTTTGTTTTGTTTACTTTAGAGACAAAAGGAAATTACAACAAAGAAACATTAACCAACTTATCAACAAATCAGTTCATAGCAAAAAACATCCTAAAAGAAAGTACAATACATTTTGGTATGTTTTAAAGGAGAAAGGTCACTATGTATAATCAATTTACTACCAAATTACGATAGACATTTTACTAGTAACGCCTTATATAAGGTCATTGTAAAATTTTCATTTCTGCACGATTTGCTCGTGGTGTTTTAAAATTTCACTGACCTGTTTATAAATGGTATGAAATACATCAAGGGGACTGTTCAGGTCTATGCCTTTGGCCCCCGGAAGTTGTTCATCATCATTGTCCTTGTGCTCGTCGAACAAGTCAAATTGTACCTGAAGGTTCGAATCTTTTTCACCAAGAGGTCTGAAATAATTTTAAAACAATACCATAAATGTTACCGAAATTTGGTCTATAAACAAATGTATAAGTGATGTTTACATCACGTCTAATCGCTGTGTGCCCTGGCCCCTTAGTGTCACCAGTATAGAGCTTGACCAATATTTATGTCCGTGCATGCTAACCATAGCTACATATTGTTGACTGCAGATATTACGTACTTCGAAATGGTCTCATTTTTTTTCCAGAAATATTATGATGTATGGTTTAATTGATACTTCAAGTCGAATCCAAAAATATATAAACTTCACTTAATATGTTACTTAAATGCCCCCTTAATTTGCGTTACTAGAGGATTCGTGCGAATCTGAAATATATTCAAACTATTTAATGAATTCTAATATCTACTCGTGCGTGTTTTGATGTGGTGAACTAGTTTAAGTTCACTGTGAGGAGGGCCAACTTCAAAACTGGCTGATTACACCAAAACAAAATATATCAGTCATTTTGACTTCACTAACTAAGCCCCAAGTTTGTCTAGTTATTCTTACGTTTACATCTAATGTATACGATGTTGTAATGTTGTCCTGTGTGTTAACATAAACCTCGGATCATAACAGACTAAATCGTTCCCCTAAATTACCGACAATTACCATTTTATGAACAGCTTTGTTTAAACTGTTAAACAAATGTTTTTGTTGGTAGCGGGACATATTGTTTATGTTTTTTCAGGTTTTTTTTCTCCATAAATGTAATAAATGTTAGGTAACTATATTAAGTATAACAGAACTTTGTAATAATAGTGTTTGAAATTTGAGGAGAGGTCAAGAGCTGGATCAATACGTCCGAAAAGTGATCAATGGTCGGCTATTGTTACAGTGTTTAGAGACTATAATATGACACATTTTTAAAAGTCAGTTTTAACAAATGATATTGCATTTTTCGGTTGAATAAATATTTTTGTTATGTTTATAAAAAAAAACTGCCTTGTCAGATATGACTGTTTAGAAATGATATATAATATATTAGTATGAACAAGTACTTTTACAGTACCAATACAAGAAAAGCATTGATGCAAAGCATCAAAGGGCGACGCCAAAAGAATTTGATCCAGATTTGCACCTAAATACTTAACAAAAGATGTGTACTTTATAGCAGTACCATTACATGTGACCTGGAGGCTAGGGCCAGGTTAAGTTGAAACTTAAACCAAAAAAGAATAGACTCTGTCTTGCCAAGATGCAAAGGCAATTTATAGTCAATTAAGCAATCTTATAAGACTCATGTTATAAGAAAGAATTTCTTCAGATTTAATTTATGAGACACAAGGATTCCTGAGTCATAAGCATATAATCACTGGCACGAGTATCGGACCTGGGAAGAAATAATATGACCAGATGACCAGATTGATAAAAAAAACTGTGTTTATAAAAACCAAAACAAAAAATGTAAATAATGATCCCCTTTAAAAATATACTATCAACTTGAAGTATATTTTTAAAGGGGGTTATTATTTACATTTTATTTTGGTTGTTGACACTTTTAAGATGAACACAGGTTTTTTTATCAATCTGGCCATATTTTTTCATCCAAGGTCTGATACTCGTGCCTGTGCATTATAATAAAAGCTTATTGCTTAGGGTTGAAGACATGTAATTGACATATATTAGACATAAAAGAGGACCTAAAATGAACATCAGGGGGACAGCATAGGTACTCAGAGCAGTAGTAGAATAAGTACCAGCCACATCAACCAGCTACTATCAGAGATAAGACTTAAACCATGTAAGAATGTCATTATATATGGCAGATGCTTGAAGTTTCATGAAGAAGAAGAAAAACAACTTCTTCATGTGCAGGATAGTGTGTTCAACTGTATCAAATGCCCTTTGTAGATCTAAAAGTATCATGCAATACTGCCTTTGTCCATTTCAAATAATGCAATCTGTTAAATGAATCAAACATGTGTCAATTGAAAAACCACTTCTAAACCCTGACTGAAACTGCCAGACCATGACTCAAACCCATGACTTTCAGAAGACCAACTGAGCTATCCGTCCTGCTACACATTTTCTCTTTAATAATGAAACAGTTCTAAACCACAACATATTTCCCCACTATATCGATTTGTGTTGGTGAATTTCTTATGTTACAGAGCATAGGAAATTGAACTCATGCTTATATGCAGTCATAGGATGAGAAAAACTTTGAGCTTGACCAGAACTCATTAACCTGTGACCAACATAAGAAATTTTATGAAGGCTGATTTGTATTTTGCATCAAGGGCACCGGGCAAAAACATGAAAATGCAACAAACAAACCACTTTGTGGTAGATTGTATTTTCATGTTTTCATCTGGCGCCCAGTTACTTTTTGTACTATGTTGGTTTTCATGTGGCACAAATCACCCACTATAAATTTAGTGCACAAATTTATTCAAGGGCAAGTAACAATCTACTCTATATGTACAGTCTGTTGTCGCGTTGACTCAGGAGACCTGGAGGTTGAGACCGGTGTCTCTTCATTACAAATAGATAAGACAGAAGCTGTCCTTTTCAAACTATGCACATGTTAGAAAAAAAATAGAATAACTATTCAGAATATGATTTTTTGAGACTTTATTAATTATATTGCTTGATCCAAGTTTAAGGACATTTTCAATCAATACCTGTTTTATCATTTATAACTTTAAATGAAAGTCTCATCCCTTTAATAATAATGACATAACTGTATCTCTTTAAATGCAGAAAAATTATAAGTCTCAACATATCAATATACTACTGTCTAAGATATACATGTACATGCACATAACATTAATAATTCCCAGTTTATATTAAATAAATATGAAATCCTAACATTAACATGCTTTTGATGACCTTACAACTGGTGAATTATATACAACAAAAATAGTATTATAAGTAATACCTAAGATAGACAGAAAAGAACAAATAATCAGGTCTAGGATTTCATGATATTTACGGACAGTCTGTAAATTTTTGGACGATCCATAATTTTACAGATTTTCTTGTCTGTAAATTTACAGACAATAAGTAAGAAAATAGTAGAAGTTGCATTAAAATTTAAAACCGCAGGTTAAAATGAATAAGGTTAGGTATTATATGATTAAATGTAACAGTATGCTAAGATTCAGAACAGTTTGATGACTTTCAATTTTCACTTTTAACAAAAATTTCAAAATCATCATACAAAGATGAAACTCACCCCATTACCTTTGTAAATATAAACAATCAATAAAACAACTTGTCTTAAGCTGCGGATTTTATTGTAAAACTAAAAACAGCAAATTTCACATTGAATATCTGTTAATTCATGGATTGAAAAATCTTTTAATTTGTATACTGTCTATAAATTTACGGACAGTCCATAAATATCATGAAATCCTAGACCTGATAATTTAGTAAACATAAGTTACTTCCCCTTAAAATAAAGAAAACCTGAAACCCAAAAGAACACGATAAACAGCAAAATTATGAAATGTTGCAGGTTCAATTTTATCAAGCCATGCAAATTAATGGTAAAGTATTCATAAAAAAATAGATGGCCATGTGTCAGCAGTAATTGCAGAAAATCGGATAGCTTTCAACATCCGGATACTGGTACACTTTGTAAAAACAACCATTCTGCGCAACAGATAAATGTAATAAGGATAAAATCAATAGGATAATCGTTTACAACAGTTCCATTACCTATCCTTATACTCAATTGCAGGTGAACTTTCTTCTTGTAGGAAAATTTTGAAAATGTATAAATGATACGGCCTCAATCTAGACCACAACGATATTCGAAATCCGGGTTTTAGTATTGTCATTAAAACTAAGGGACAAGCTGTTAAACTTAACCCGCAATTTCGTGAAAATAATATCACAATGCACATGCTTTTTACATAAAGTTATTAAATACAAATATAACAACACATTTGTTTACTTGATTTTTACGAATCAAAATAAAACTAATTTACACAACATGAAATTAACTGCTAATAATAACAGCTCCTTCCATAGGCAAAAATAAAAAGCGTTCCATAATAGACGACGCCGCTCACCGGCGTCGCCAATAACCTTTATTTAGACAAGTTATTTTTAGTAACGTAAATATTTGTTATTTTATGCAACATTTCTACTTCTCGTCTCCACATTTTATTGGTTCACGTGATAAACGTATTTCCGGTTTCTTTGATATTTTCAAACCAGCATCATTCTCGTATTTAACAACTTTCAATCAAATTTTATGATACTTATTATTTACGCAATAACCATAGTACCAAGTTTTGTCAAAACTTAACATACCATTTTTTTCGATGCAAAATTTTAAACAATTCGTGTATAACATAATGTAAAAAAGAGTCATCAACCTTTTGTTTCATGCAATAGACGCTTTTTATCTTCTTTCTTTTTTTACTTGGCCATTAATTAAACAGCTTATTGTCAAGTATCTATTATAACCAGTGTTACTTACTATAACTGTCATGAACATTTCGCATCAAAATTCAATTTATAAATGTAGTCTCGACTCATTAAATTAGATACGTGCTAATGACATCGACACTCGGAGATTCTCTATTCAATGTAATGCTATTTATATTTAAGAAAACACAAATATCAAAAGAATCTATTGCTTGCATTTTGAATAGAAAATTATTATCTTTTTTTTTTCGGTGTGCATATCATCAATTCTAAACATATGCATTTAATGTCAGTTTTTCGAAATACGAAATTACGGAGCAAAACTAGCTTTACTTGTTTATTGTGAATTTGTGACATACGGTAGTTTCGTATTTCGGCCATAATTCATATCTTTTTATGTAGATATGCTTTTAGTGACTTTATACCATTATGCTGTCAGACATATCAAAAAGAACTTCTTGATAGACACCAGCTCGCGTGAGAATCTTCCTACTTCGTGGCAAAATCGATACCAGACACTGATTTGTATTCTTAAAATGGCGGCATCTTATAGGCTTGCCTTCCTTCTACGATTTTGAATTCATTTCCCTAAAATTCATTCTATTATTTCATTTTTTTGTAGGCTTTAAAATGTTAAATTATTCGAAGAAATGAGAAATTCTTGTCGCAGCATTTCTTATCGGAAACAAAATCCGATATTAATAGATGACATCGTCTAAAGTTTTAATTGACGAGACAATGTCCTTGAAGCAACGAACGCTGTCTATAAATACGAATAAATTGAATTAGAATTTAAAATAGAACAATTACATGTCCTGATAGTTCTCATATATTTTACCAATCAAATTATCACGTTATAACGTGGTCAACACCATGTGTACTTTTCACGTATGCACACAGCATACGCATTATGTGCAAGCAAAGATACTAGAAGTGAGCGTGGTTTAGTCCGATTTAAAAATAACTGTCAGGAAAAGTTTGATGTTTCGGAGGTCATTGCAAAGAGTGTGCAGTTGCAACCTCTTCTTTCTAGAAATGACCTTCGTTTTATTTTAGGAAATAATTTACAAAACTATACGGTCGGTGGATTCCATAAACGATTATAATATTTATATCTGATATCAGATATTTCACTATAACTACTATTTTTACACTATGCTGACTAACATTTTTATAATATTACACTGATTATGGTAGAAAAATAGTGAGTGATCATTGGACTATATCAAATATGTTAAACACTTCCTTTATCTTAGCGTGGAAATCTTTTCTTTTCATTTTTTTTATCATTTTGCAACAAAAAAACATAAAGTGTATAGCAAATGAATTGAAAGTGAAAATAAATCTGCAAGTCACATGGAATTAATGATTCGTAACGTTATATATGTCACTACACTGTGACAAAACCTGCTAAAAACTGAAAGTAAGGACCATAGGTGTTTTTCCACATTAAATAACTATTTCACCAATACAATAGTAAGCATCAACAACACTTATGAGTTGAAAGAAAAAACATTATCTGTAGCATATACAAAAAATGAAGTGTATTTATTTTGGTTTGTGTGAGTTTTATTTTTCGTTCTTGTTATTTTTATTTTTTGTTGCTGTTGTAATGCTGCTGCTGCTGCTGATGATGATGACGATGATGATGATAATTATGATGATGATTCATGTGTCCAATTTTTTGGTAAATATTAAAAGGTAGTTGCCTATTTAATGCTTGTTAGATGGAAAGTTTTTTGCGATTTTTTTTACTGTAGATGATATATACTTTTGCTACACTCAAACTGTCTCCTATTTTTCTCTTCTTAAATGGATGCAAGCGTTTAGTTACGTTAAAACTTTTTTACTTGCTTAATTGCATTTGACCTAGATCAAAACCGATTATAGAAATAAAAATCTTGTTATTTTACCACAATAGTATTTATCACCAAGTAATTACTGTGCTCCTAATGTTTTGTAAAATTAAGGTCAGGTACAATTTAATGCCCATATAAGTAAACGCTGGAATTTATTAGTAATTCATTACTTCACCCGTGAAATTACAATAACTTTAATTATGTTTTATTACTATAACCGGATTTTATTACTATTACAGTCAGTAAAGTATGTAACAAGCTTTTAGTAATAAGGTTTTAACGACAAAAACTTCCTTTAATTCTTCAATCTAGAACTTCAAGCACGAAGAAAATTAAAGTTATATATTATAAAAATTGTCAATGTAACTTAATTAATCATCTGTGGAAAAAGAACTCACCTTAATAAGTTCAAAACTTCCTGCAACTTCAAACCTGAAATAAAAAAAGAAATCAATTTTAACGTTTGAAAGAGAGTCTAAATCACGGCGAGCAAACATGATCACAAGTTCGCGCGCTGCAGTCGCGTCGCACATTACAATGGACGTGTCACTAAAATGTCGCTTTTTTCTTAATTCGGTCGCACGTTATTATCTTTACAAAATCGTTTGACGAATTACACTAGATATGATAAATCATTTGGTTGAAAAGAATAAGAGCATTTATCTAACGATATAAATAGGGCCGTGCGACCTTGTTGTATCTCAAAATATGTTTTAAAAAGTTCAAACAAAACTGACATCCGCTGAAGTTACATGATGAAGTATTACAATTCATTTTCATCATTTTTGTGTGGTTTATACAGTTTCATTAGTTTATTAATGATCATAAACAGGGAATTGCATAGAGTGTGTGAAATCTTAAATCACGAGTAACCTTCCTTTTAGAAAATGTCCTTAACATTATTATAACATAGTGGCAATGAAAAACAATTTTTACACAAAAAATACCCTAATCATGCAATCGTTTTATATTTGATCTGTTACAATCTCTTGCTTCATATGACTGGACTAGATTAGCATATTTAAACTTCAAAGGAAATTAATATTTAAACCAGTAAAAAATTGCAATCTCATTCCTTCAAAATGGATTATAACGACTTCATGTTAGTTTTGTTTTGTTTACATTCATAATCTATCACTTTCATAAAAAATTGGACTGTTTACAAGTTCAACAAGTTTTTTTTCAATAGCAAGAAAAAATAAAGGTCTAAGAGTTGTTTTGACTGTACAAGCATTTTCAATTAATTTCGATTCCAATGGTCTATAATTGACAATATTGTCTTAACCCTCTGGCGGATGATCGCCACGGGTAGCCTATAGTACAATTACACGAATATCACTTAACATTAATACATGTAGTTATCCACTTAGAGCACGTTAAAAAGTCAAATGACCATTAGTAAAAGAAAACATCACATGTTGACATTATGACTGGACATTTACTTAAGAAAACAATATTGAAGTATTTGAACAACATGGAGCTGACAATGCACTGATTACCATGTTGAAAAACTTTGTTGAGTTTGTACAACGTTAATATTTATTTCAACTATGCTTGAAATCGATAGGTCCGAAAACATGATGATGTTTAATAAAATCTTTATCCAAACAATTTCACTGTTGTTTTTTTTAACTAAAGACTTTTGAACAACAGCTGGACTTGTAATACCAGATTTCTAAACATATTGTTCAAAATAAAAACATGCCTAAAATACTAGAAGCTATCAAAGATATTGTAGTATAACCACTTTCTAATTTGAATCTATTCGACGAGAGTGATCATTACATGATAAGGAGCCATGCAAACACTTGACTTAACTTTGGTGTGTTCTGATTCAAATTCTTTGGCCATTGACTTTTCAGACTGTGAATTATCTGGGTCTCTGTTTTGGCACAAATAATATACGTATATCGGACAAAAACCTCCCAAACTTTTATGCACGGGACATTAAAATATATATACTAGGCCGTTGGATCTGGCCCGAAAATCTGAGAGGCCTCTTACCATAAAACTCGTTTCTGATCCGAATTCTCTCGTTGATTTTGTCTGTATATATGATAATACAGTTGATGAACTCTAATAGAATGTTCTTGTATGATGATGGACTCTCTGTCCGTCTCAGCTCATCAACTAGGAAACTAAACCGGTACTTCTGCTTCTTCGCAGTCTGAAAAATAAAAGAAATTTAATATACTTATAAGTAACGTTTATGCGTATTTTGAACAAAATATAAAATATTTGACCCCTTATAATCATTTTCGTTTTTGTATTGCTTTATTTACTCTCAAAATTTGTATCATGGTTTAAAACATGTCAAAGCTCTGGTCTTGAGTTCTTTAGGTCAAATTTTGGTGAAATTTTAACAGATAATTTAGAGCGCTAAGCGGTTAATGAGTATTTGATAATATTCACTATCTATTATAGTTTTGCGGCCCTTTGACAACCTCTCTACTCCCAGCCCGACGTAACCAACTCAGTGAAAGTCTTCCTTATATCGTAGAGATAGTGGAATGAACAGAACACAAACGTCGCCGGATTATTTTAATAAGTAATATTTATTCAAGGTTTAGAAATTCGCTTTGACTTTTGATAATCACAGAGATAATCAGCGTTCTTTACTATGTAGGAGTAAACTTAGTTGTATGAGGATTATTCATTTTCGTTTTCAGAGCGACTTCGTATACGAGTTAAAGCAATAATTTTCTGCTAATGACAGAGGAGGAATTGATTAATGAACGACCGGTATCTACGCTGACCAAACTCGAGTATAGAGAAGTGTGAAGTGGTAAACAAACTTCCGACATCGCGTCCTCGTTTATTTCAGGCAGTTTTGACGCTTTGTTTTGATGTAGAAATACATTAGTCTCGGTGTATAGGGAGAGATACGAAGGTTTGATGACTTACAGCAGTCACGTGATACCATGATGGTAGTTCTTACAGATATCGTTTACATTCGAGGTTAATATTAATATTCCGGAATATTTCTTTGAAATATAGCTTTATTCCTCCCTAGATATTTCGGCAATAATGAAACATGTCTAATAACGGCTATTGCAGAACGCTCATGTACAGTTATACACGGAAATATGGTTCAACATCTTGCCGATATCATCTCACTAAAGCAGATTAACGTTTGATGTTGAAATAATAAAGTTCATACCAAACGGACATGATGACTTCAAAATCGTCTTATGTTTTAAAGTATAAAAGCATATATTCGTTTCCCAAGAGAAAAACTAAAAGTTATGGATGGGGTTTTCCTGCGTTCTTTGGGCTTGTTATTAAGGACACGTTGTCAAAATAAAATCAAAAGGAGGCCGTTTCTTTTTTTGGAGAAAAGGCAGTAATTAAATCAGCAGTTTTTGTCGGTCTATTTGCACAAGCAAGATTATCTGAAATAGATAACACTAATTGATGCAAAACGGCACTAAAGGTGTTAAATAAACGAAATATAATACTGCTCTCTTTGTATATACGAAGCGATAAAGATCCGAAAAGCATTTTCTTTATATTCTTGCCGGCCAATAACTTAGTTTTGAATATAATTAAAATAACCCATTTAGGAATATGATTTTTTTACATGCAATTCTCCAGTAGCTTGTGTCAATAAGGTCGCTACAATATATAAATCATCATCTATTTATTTAAAACGTGTTGAGGCGTGAAACAAGGCGGTATATTCTCTCCTTTACAATTCTTGTTTTTTGAAAGTGAGATATTATGACAAAAAAGGAAGAGATGAACGCTCGACAATATCATTTTATATTTCAATATAAAAAGCTGTTTTCTGAATAATTTATTTGATTTAAGTAGACAGCTGCATGTTAATGATGTTAATATTTGACATGGTATGGTTATGTACTTGAATGTTTTAGCAAATATCATCTCAAATCACAAGGGGTATTCATCTGCGCGTGACAGTATTCGGTAGTCGTATATATGCATTTATTTTCACATACATTTTGCATAAACAAGTTTTATGGTTTAGTATATTCTAAAACAGATAATAAAACTGACAAATAAATATTTACATTTAGAAACTTCTAAAGTCATTATTGGACCATGTTTTTGTCCATTACATTAAATGTCATAGGCTTCGTTTACTTCAATTTTTATTCTTTTCCCCTCTTTCCTTTTTCCAAGTCTTACTTTATAAAAGCGTTTTTGTACGATTTAAAGCTTAAGTAATGTTGTTTTTTTTTGTTGTTGTTTTTTTCCTTTCTTTCTGACATACTAGTAGCTTAATTATTCATCCAAAAACGCTTCCTTGAAAAGTTAATGAAATGCTTTCTTCTTTTTTTGTGGATAAAAAATCTAAATTTATATCAAAGATGGTAATTAGATTTTAACACTGTTTTCATTTTATTTGTTTCAATTCCTTTTTGAGAGTAGATAGAAGAAAAAACATTGTAAAAATGTTTCCCGTAGTTTCTATTCTAAATTGCTATTTTTACCCAAACACGGTAATATAATCATAGTCTACATGTAACCTGTTTTCGTAGATGCACTATCATCTATGTATTCAATTATATCATATTTCGCTCTGCATAGACATTTAAATAGCTATTAAACCAAAGAAATATTTATATATATACACTGTCATTGTGAGTCATTCCCTGAAAACTTAATTAGTATTCATATCACTAAAGATTGTATGCGTGAAAAGTTTCAGGATTTATAAATATATACACATAATTACAGACAACATGTATATGAACATCATATCAAATGTTTCAGAGAGTTATGCATCTCAGTAATAAAGAAAAAATAAAATGAAATATATAAAGATATGGTCCAATAAGAAATTTGAATATAACATCAACTGTTTGCAAGTAGCAACCGCAAGTGCCATACTGGTATCAATTCTGTTTGTGGTTCGCCTTCTTGCTCGCATGCACTGACTTTTTGATTTTGATACACGAAGCACGTTTATTTTTTTGTATTTAAAAGAGTTCGCGGTATAACGAATGAGAGAATGTGGGGACAGGCCCGGCCGACCACGAACATCAGCAGTTTTCCGCAGATTTGGACTCAGTTGAATACCCCACGTCTCCCACGACGCTAAAATATACCTGCATCTTTTGAATCTTATTTTGAGAAATTCTAATTTGTATGCATAATCTCTATTCAAATAAGATCGATGTTTTTCTTTAAAAAAATAGGGGCCCAATATTTGTTTTTAACGAGGGGTTTCTTTTTACATTCATTTTTTTTTGGGGGGGGTTTGGTTTCAATGATCGGGGACTTTAAAATAAAAAAACAAAATTTGCTGTTCCCACTAAATTTGAATTTTTTTTCCCACGGGCCTTTAAAAAAAGGGGAAAGCAGCCTTGTGCAATAAAACCCTTTTTCACACTTAACCCTCTTATTTTAAAGCGTCTTTGGACTTTTCTTTTTTCAAATTTTAAATTTTTCTACTTTTGAAATTTGTTTATAAATAAAAAAATACCCAGGGGGAAAAAAAACAAATGTTTTAAATAAATCCCAGGGCCCGGTGGTTTTTTACATTTTTTAAAAACGCCAAATTTTTTTTTTTTGGGAAAGGGGGTCTAATTTTTTTAAAAAAAATAAAAATTTATTTTCGACAAACCCACTTTGTTTTTTAAAAGTGAGGCAAATTTTATATTTTTTAATTTTGTAACCCGGTGAAAATTTCAAAAAATTTGAAAAATACTTTGGTAAAAGGGAAAAGGGTTGAATTCAAACCCTTTTTTATTTAAAATTTTTTTACTTGTATTTTAAAATTTTAAGAAAGAAGAAAACCTTTTTAAAATTTCCAAAAAACCCCAAAGTTTAAAATTCATCAGTTAATTTTAAAATTAAAATTTAATTTTGGTAATTTTAAAACCCAGCCCCCTTTAAAAACAAATTTTTAAAAATTAACACTGCCCTTTTAAACCCGTTTTTGGTAACCTTTTAAAAAATTTTTAAAAAATTGGAAAAATGGATTTAAAAAAACCTATTTAATTTTTTTTAAAAAACCCCCAATGTTAAAATCTAAAAAGGGCTTTTTTAATTTTTTTTTCCGCTGTCAATTGGGGAAAAAAAAAAAAAAAAGTTTTTTTTCAATTTTTTTTTTTTTTTTTTATTTTTTCTGGAGTTAAAGAAATTTTTGTGCTGTTTTAAAAATAAATACTAGTGTGCTAAATATATGACAAACTATAATTATTTATTATCATCATATCATGTCGGGAAGAAATTATAAATTGAGTTTGTTTTCTATTCCAATATTTACTTAAGGTAATACCTAACCTCATGAAAATGCAATTTATAAAACGTGATCTTAACATTTGTATTATAGCCCACGACTTACCCATCTTGATCAGTCAAGTTACATTCTTTAAAACAAATTTAAGGTATGAAATAAACTTTAAAAAAAACATTGCAACGGTATGCAATATCTGCGATATCATCTTTAGTTATCCTTAATTAAAGATCCAAAATTTGCATTAACGATTTGCCGAGCTTATCCACGCACAATAAACCATTGGCTGGGCTCCAGCGTATTTGTGTGCTTTAATTTTATATTAAACAATGCCTGTATACATTATATGACAGAGTAAACCTTGGTCTTTAGATGAAGCCTATTCAAATTAAAAGAGATAATGTTTTCAAAGGTCATGTCATGTAATAGCAATCGATTAAATCTTGTATCATTTAAACATACTCTTCTAATTAATCCAAAGTTTAGGAAGATATAAGTTGGTTTCCCGCCTTTTAAGTACCGCCGATTGACTCGCGCTGTTACGCATTCATAATAAATTAGACCTACAAAGATTTTGACTTATCAACTTAATCGCAAGTAACTCCCTTGATTTTTTTTCTAAGACAGTGAAAACATGCCTTTCAAAACAGAAACATGTTTGTATGGGTTTGTTAATTTCACCGAGTATACCACTACCACTAAAATATGACATTAAGCCAATTAGCTAATTTCTATGCTGGCATTTATTGGTAAAAGTTGTTGCAAAGATTTAAAACAATATTTTGAAAACAGATGTTTCTAATATGCAAAGTAGCGTCACAAAATTGAGGCTGCATATTTTTCTTATCTCTAAAATTTATCTGGTTTAATTAAAATATTTCACATGCCACGCATTGAGTTTACATGTATATGAGGATATGACAATAATACAAAATGTATATTCACTTGATGACAGCTGTAAA